TCTCGAGGGTAGTGCCACGGTCGCCCAGAGAAGATGGACCAGTCGTAGTACTCCGAATGACTAGCATGCCAGCACGTCAGTGAACATGATGTACAGTGGTACCTGGACTGGATTCCATCCACAACCCGGTGACCTATGACAACAGACGCTCTGGAACTGTGTGACCATCAACCACCAAATTGGGACTCGGCCCACGCATCGAGGCACACGCTGTGCCCCAGAAGCTCCCAGGCAATATTCATTCTGTCGTACAAGTGCGCTTGGTTAGCACGATGTATGGGTTTCTGCAATCCAAGGCCAGTCACCACGCAAACGTGCCACTTTGCGCTATTTCTAATTTCTTTTTGTAATCCCAGGTTGATGTCATGATGCCATTATTGGAATTCTGCATCTGCCTTTCGGAAATCAAGTCGAGTGTTGCTGGAGCGGAACTGCAGGAACTGTTAGGCAGTAGAGACAGTCCCTAAGTCAGGCTCTCGTTTTAGCTCACGAGGCCTTTCATTCTTATGCGCACGGACGGTAGACGCGTGAACTCCGGCTGACGAAGAGCAGAGGTACCCTCAGCCCTTTAGATCGGAGGGGCCATGAAGCTAGTCAGTTCGTACTTAGTTCGAGGAGGGGAGCATCCTGGTAATGCAATTGTACGGCCGATTGAAGGACTCCGAGTAATGGCCCGGCTGCGGATCTTGAGGCGCTGTACATTAAGTCCATTTGCCTGGCCCTTCCCTGATCCACTTAGAGTTCACTTACCCTGACTTTCTCCTCCGCCCCCCATCCCAGGACCCACTGAAGCTCAATTGCTATGATAGCTGAGAAAGTCTACTCGATCATGTGGATGCTGTCAGTTCTTTTTTCTCTTTTCTTTTTTTGGAGCGGCGAATTGCGGCTTTTTGCGGGGAAGCCCAGGACGTATCAGAGTTCGACCCAGCTGCCTGAATCAGGAATGTAGAAGCCATTGTAGCCTTTGTAGGTAATCGTCTGACCCAGACGATCATCGTTTCCTAGGGTCCATGGACTAGATAAATTTCCAGCCATTGCCCTCTTCCGAAGAAGGTTTTGCCATGTTGACGTTAACAGTGATTCCTGGTCGTGGCGTTCGATGAGTGAGAGACAACCAAAAGTTCCTTAACATCATCCTTTCTTTCGTTTTTCTTTTTCTTTCCTTTCCTTATATTGATTGGATTCCGGGTAAAAAAGGCGATGAATACTCTTTCCTGCATTGGACTTTTGTTTCTTTTTCTGTCCTTCATTGCTGCTAGATTTCGAAACCATCTTCCCTGGCTTCGGCCCAAACACCGTCCACAAGATGTTAGTTGCGAGGACCTTAAGCCTCCTCCCATCAAAGGGAGGGAGAGATATAGAGTCATGATGGATATTCGGAAGCTGGATGCCCAAAACTGGCTTACCATCGACAAGAACTACATGGCGGAGCATCAGGTCCGGAGTCAATTGCTGCAACAAGAAAAGCAAAAGGTCCTGCAATGCCTACCAGAGTCATACGAAGCATGTCTTGAAGCGTTGGAGGAGGTGGTTGATTTCCTGTGCCAGCGGTTTCCAGACAAATTCGAACATAAGAGGTCCGGCGACGAGTCGACCGTTCACAACAAGGTGACCAGCGAAACGTTCGTGTTTGGGGGTCAAAACAAGCAGGTCGATCCGCTCGAGATAGCGGTGAGGTTGACCATGGAAGACCTAAGCATCTTGATGAAGAATGCGGACGACGAGTACTACTTGTTAGTTTGAAGAGACCCCTTGACCTACTTTCAGGGCAACGACAGCTGACCAACAAGGCAGGGCCGCCAGTGCAAGCCTCTTTCCGGTGGGATGGACTGTACAGGAACGAATTGGATGGACAATCTCCCGGCTTCATGAACCTGTGCCTCTGTGGCATCAGCAAGTCGCCGCCTCTGTTAGCAAGTTAGTGGATATGGAGCTCTATAAAGAAGATGGGAAGCTGACTTTCAATAAGGTTCTTGAACCGCCTTACGCCATCTTCACCAATGGAACGGTCAAACTACTTTGTTGAAGTGAAGCGCTCTGATGAAGACTTGTTTGAAACCCTTTATCGTCCTACGACATTGTTTGAGGACAACCCCAACCCATCTCCTGAGGATATCGTCATCCGCCGTGAACGACAGACCTTCCGCAGACTGCCCCGGACTGGAGCACTCGTTTTCGGCGTCAAGACGTTTCTTACCACCTTGAATGAACTTCCAATGCAGGAACTGCGAAATCTAGCTAAAGAAATCAAAAGTTGGCCGGACTATGTCGGCGAATATAAAGGAAGAGAAGTTTGGGGGGCCAAGGCGTTGGAGTTCTGTGAGAAACGAAGCCGAGAGGAAGAGAAGCTGAAGGAGGAGGTAGGAATGATGGAGGTGTAATTGGAGAGGTCACGACACTTGTAGCACTATTCTTTTCCTTTTCTTGCATCGGGGGCATTGTTTTGGGTTAAAACGGGTGGGTGGCACTCTGATCTTTTGTTTTGCGAGAGCGTTCTCATTTTTTGTTTTGCATCAAATGCTGTCATGGTTGCTTCGCTTCTTTTTTTTTTTTCTTCTCTCTTTTCTCTGCTTCCTTTTGGCACCGTGATTTCATGAAGGGCAGACAGGAATTGTTCAATCCATGTATGCTATATCTGAATAATATATATGAAAGAAGATCAATTTTAACACCTTAAGATAAGCCGAAGTGATCAACTGAAACGTATGTACAAAGAATGATGTATACAAATACTAATAGACCGGGGGACGGGAGGCACCCAAAAAGATATATGTGATGAATGTCTGTGCAATAATGTATTATAATCAAAAGCAAACGGGAAAGTCTAGTTTAGAAATAGATATCGCCAACAAGATGAAAGGGTATTTGGTGTTGATTAATGCAGTGCAATGGTCTATATCTTTGACCGAGGAGGTTCATCTTGTTTTAACCTTACGACACCCTATACCAACCATGCATTAGTGAATCGCATTCGAAAACGGACCGAGGGCCAACAAACGAATGATAGGGAGCATACCTCTTGCGTGCAGGTGGCGATCAATGTTCCATCTTTAGACCAGATATTCTGGAGAACCAAGCCCCTCCCCTCGCCAGCCCAAGGGCTCTCCATCTCCGTGACCATCCACTCGTCTGCGCGAAACGCCCAAGGATTGTGGAAGTAAATTGAATGATCAAGACTGACCATCATGCCGACCTCTTTATGCTTGTGTTTATTCTTCGGGTCCTCAGCTTTACTGAGGGCGCCCTCCAACCGACGGCGCAATTCAGCGGCCTCTTCTTCCTTCAACTCCTTAAACGCTCGTGAGATTTCGTCATCGTCTAAGTCGGATGGGTTCTTGAGTGCGTTTAGGGCTGCCTTGAGTTCGGCGGGGGAGGCAAACCGAGGGATGTCATGGACGCGCGATACAGTTCCGATGAAATAACTATCGGTCACATAAGCGAGGGCGGAAAGATGGGCGTGGTGGCCGCCGGCCTCGGAGATGGCTCCTCGTGCGCGCATGCAGCGTCGGATTCGCTTATCCTCCGGCTTGGACGAATCCCCTGGGCCCGTTAGCATGACCAGAACTTCATCCAACTCGTAGTATAACACGCAGGTCATGATGCTTACGGTTCACAGTCCCGAGTTTGTGCGACTCGAACGGCCCGCCTCCAGCGTTATAAAGCTTCCTCTGTACATCCGCAGAAGAATCGTCCGGCAGCGTAACAACAGGCATTGATTTCGCATGCTCCAGCTTCTTCTTCCCGCCACTGTTGGCCTTGCTGAAACTCAAGGTGGTGGTAAAAATTGGTCGACCGCGCTGCCTGGCTTGAACAGTGCGCGTTATGAAGCTCCTTCCATCGCGCACTCGCTCAACATGGTATAGAATGGGAATTTCGGAATCGCCTGCGAGGACGAAATAGCAGTGCATGCTGTGGACGGCGAAATCCGACGGAACCGTCCGCATCGCCGCGGCGAGTGACTGGGCGATTGCCGCACCGCCGTAGATGCCCCGCGCGCCAGGTGGGTGCCAGAGAGGACGAGTATTGGTGAAGACATCCTGTTGAGAGGAAGAAAAGGGTTAGAGACAGAACAAGAGAGACGGGACAGATTTGGACAAACGTACCGGACCAATATCTATCACGGGCGTAACTCCAAAACATTTTCGATGGGGGCTTTGGAAGAATCTAGCGGGGGAGGTTCAAAGAGAGTCACCCTTTTCGCCATGACTAGGTTTAGATGATATCCGGATGGTTCTACACAAGGAGATCAAATGGACAGTTAACAACGAAGGAGGAAATGTAATGCATTCATGGTGGAAAGGGAAAAAAGGTTGAGGAAGGACTCTTGACCCCGTGGATGACGCGGGCAGGGGATTCCTAATCGGGTAATTGCCGAGGCGTTCCTGTTTCAACTTCCATGGTTTTGGTGCCGAATCTCCGTCGGCATTCTAAGCTATGAAGAACTACCAGTGAACCAACAACTTGGTGGCTCCCAACCCACCCAGTCTTGTCCTTATCTTTTCTTCTACTCTCTTCTCATACCCTCGTCTACACGATCGAGAAGACTCGCTTTACAAAGCACCGACTTCTTTCTAATCTATGGAATAGAGTAGACATACAGAGTTTCCGTATTGATGTAAGCATGACTGCAGAAAGCATGTGATGTCTGGATCAGGGTGAAAAGAAGGTATTGGGTTATAGAAAGACCCTCGGTAGATCAGCATCAACGTTATTGGTTGGCCTTCATCTTCCCAACCCATTCGTAGCCGCCGTAGATCCTTCGAACTCTGTCTTGTCGGGTATGGTGTGCTGCACTGCATCTCTACATTGGTGTGATATATCGTGTAAGCCATACTCGGCTAGTCTCTTATCCTCAGACGATCGGCGACTGGAGATGTGCACACGGTATGCGCTTGGTAGTGATGAACACGATCCGCCGGCCAGCCAAGCAAGGGCCAGGATATTTCGGAGTAAATTACCCTATCATCTCGCTTCATTTATATGCACGCATGCTGACCAAATCAGCTATAGTAACTGTTCTCGCGAGGAGGAGGCATGAAGGAATCCCATCCTTTTCCGGGATTGATGTGTTCCGGAACTTTAACCCTGAAAGTCTTTTGCATGACCTTGGAGCTCGATCTCTTTTTATCTTGATTTTCTTGAAGAAGCCGGAGCAGCTGTTGTCGTTGCATCTCCTCTTCCGTCAAAGGGATTGTTGTACGGTCGGAGTCGTCGGCTCGAATCTCGTCGGCGATGCTTCTTCCATATACCCACAATGCGCATAACGCGTAGACGACTGCGAATATAGAGGCAAGAACCATGCCCACTGTTGCCAAGCGGCCGACGGGGAGTAGCTTTCGACAGAGAATATTAAGAACGACATTCAACAGTCCGAGGAGGTTGGAGAATAGGCAAGGTCTGCGTTGTGGTGAGATTGCAATCCAAGAAAGGGGAAATGGAGAAGAGAAGAACAGAAGAAAAAGCGTCGGGCATTTACAGGAAGACAGAATGAATCAAGTATGTACGCTTACGATACTGGGCGCAGAATAAGATGAGCGACAGAAGGTATGCATTTCCGATTAATGCCAATGCTGCTACAGCTGTGCCTGTCTTGTCCCCAAGAGAATCATCCTTGGCGTCTTCAAATGCGAGCGGCATGACGAGGAACCTTTGTGACGGCATGTCAGTTATCAGATCGTTCATACGTAGGAGGGCAGAAGAACACATACCCCACAAGCGTCAAGTTCGACGATAAGCCCGCCAGGAATTTCCAAGTCGCTCGTACTTTTTCGTGATCGATCGGCTGTTGCTCCTGGGACACAATTCCAAGCTCCTGATACTGAGGCGAATCCATGTTTCGCCTCTTGCGGAATTACACGAGAGATGGTCTAGTAGTATTATACAGGTCCTGGAAGAGACCAATAGCTCACATATGGGATATAGATAACAGAGGTATCCTGCTGGTAGCAATAATCAATGGCATTAATATAAGTCAAGAATCTATAACAATATTAGAATGGCCGATTCAGTGAGATTAATGCCGTAAGGGAAACGCGGAATGCTGATAAACGAAGGACAGCAACCAGAATATCAAGGGGGTAGTGGTAGATAGGACATCCAACCGTATGATATCGGAAAAGAGGAAGGAAGCAAAGAAGAAAAAGAAAAGAAAAAAAAGTGAGAGGCAGGGGGATTAAATGAAGTTGCAAGAAAACAGACGGTCTCACTTTAGATTGTAAATCATCCGCGCCCGTGCTCTGGGATTGGCCCTTGAATCGGCAAGTAACAGGGGGGTGATTGGCTCTCTCCACTTAAGTTGGGATTCTTTCCATCCTCTTATAATCTCACTTGCAGGCGAGAATCTCGTAATCTGCACTGCTCAGCCACAGGTACTACCTCAGCCAGCAGTGCGAAAGCCAGCAGTTGAACATTGATAAGCGGACAAAAATAGCAACTTTTGTCTGTATCGCAAAGGAATGCCACAGTTTCCCCCTCCAATCCAAAATTCCCCACTCATCCCGAGACTAAGGGTGAGCAAAGGAGCATGTAAGTTATCATAGCCACTTCCCCGATTCGTGCAAGATAAGATCTAATCAGAGGAGACTACTACTAGTATTCCCATACCAGAAAACCTCACGACCGTGGAGTATTTGGAAGGAAGAGAAAATAAAAATAAAAAGAGAAAAGACTTCAGCTGGATTTCTCGAATCTGATAAATTTGGTTTCTTTCTTTTGTTTGTACACCATCACCTTGGGTGTCGCTCAGAGGCAGACGAGCGTAGTACTACCGACCACTCTGATTTTCCACGTCCTTGGGCTCGACATGAATCGTAGAAACCTCGCCCGACCTTCCCACGCTTCGATCTGTTGGTGGTCCCTGAGTATCGGCTTCCTTTAACCGCTTGAGCTCTTGACAGAACTTGCTGCTCTCTCGGATACGAACTCCGTAACGAATGAAGACAAATGGAATTACTGTGACCCCAAGGCTCAGAAAGCCAACAAGAGTGTATGCCCAATTTACCCCAAGGCGATCGAACATTGGCTTGGTCGCTAAAGGCAACATAGCCCCCCAAATACTCCGTGTACAAGCAGATGCGGACATAGCGCTAGCAGAGTAGGTCTCGTAAGCGTCGGCCATATAATTGGCCATGGCCATAAAATTCAACATGTATCCCGCCCCGAACGGAATCCCCGACAATGCAGGAATCGACCAGTGAACGTTGGGAAAAGCTGTCCAACCCATGAAGAAGATAGCTACAACGTATAATGGGCCTCCGAGGCAAGCAAGAGGAAGACGGCGGTATTCTTCAATATGTGCCCATTTCGCATTCCGGGCTTTTGCGCGGGCTAAAAAATTGTCGTACCAGAAGAATATCATGCAAGCAACTACAGCGCCGACCCCGACTGCTCTGGGCAATCAGTACTGTTCTCGGGATCTCAGGCTTCATGAGACTCACTTGGGAGGAAGCAAAGTCCAGACTTCGCTGCGTCCATTCCGTAGATACCTGCATTCATTTCCAGGTTAGTGAGTTACCGTGCAGCCTTCTATGTAACTGGGAGAATCTGACTGGGAAGGGTCGCTATGGAGCGGGACGGGAAACAGGCGGGATTATCACTAACCCTGGAAAACCAATGGATAGGCCTGAAAGTAGAGATAAAATATTGCGTAGGTAAGGGCGAGGTATAAGCAGGAACAAGATATGATGGGCTCAGAGAACAACATTCGCAACGGCCGTGCCAAATGGATAATGAGTGTTCCTTTAAGATCTCGGCTACCGAGATCCAACGGCGATACTATATTTGAATTGCCCGTCTCTTTCCGTAGTCTCTCAGCTCTTTGTTGAAGGATTATAGGCGCGTATGTTTCTGGCATCAGGAAAGCCAGAGGTAGACTAATGCCTGCATATGCGAGACCAAACCAAAAACATGATCTCCAGCCGTAACTCACGAGGAAGCCTGACGCTAGAGGCCCGAGGACGGGTCCAATGGTTGTAGCCTATGAAAGTGGGTTAATATCCCAACAAATACTACCAACAGTACTAGGTACTGAATATAGGGTATTTACCGTCATGTAATATGCCATGAGTCGACCACGAGCCGTAGGATCTGCCTCTATATCGGCGTAGATGCCACCAACGATAGCGATAGGTGCAGAAGCAGCCATTCCATCGAGCAACCTGAAGATAAGCAAAGATGGGTACGACTTTGCCAGGGCAGATGCCATCATGAAGACGGTATACAACAAAAAAGCTATCAATAACGGATACCTTCGTCCCTTAGCCTCCGAAAAGGGGCCCCATAACAGAGGTCCTAGAATATAGCCGACTAGGAATACAGAAATCGGTAAGACAAGGATCTGCTGATTCGTCACGCTAAATTCCTGGGCGATTGCTTTTGTAGCTCCGCCTGGGACTGAGGAACCGACAGTGCTATTCATGACCTCATTGGCACCAGTAACAAGCACAAATATTTTCCAAAACTAGTACATAAGTATGGAGTTACTACGCTGTACGAAGTTCTTGATTTCGGACAGTTCCACTATACCTTTGACCAATTGTTAGGGTGATCCGGATCGTGTGGCTCAAAGGCCACCACGGTTTTCGATTCCATATGACAGCAGCTCCAGGGAGAAAATGTGCTTGATTGACTGTCGGAGGAATGGCAGTCATTGGCTTGATCGTTACTAGACAAGCTATATGGTTTTTCTGATGAGGTCATCGCTTCCCCTAAACGACATGTTAGCTCAAGTGCAGGATCTGATAAACGTTCGGAAACAAACCGTTTATTATCTCTCTTGTATGGCATGGTTTCGCTGTAAGTGAGGTGTTAGGCATGTTTATATATTGACCGGCAACTACTGTGGATCCAACACCGTATTAGGCCATCGAGGAGCTTTGGGAACTCATGTTTTAATAACAACTATCGTAGTCTTTGATCCCCAAGGAGGCCACGAATAATTGACAGGAGTCGTCATCTATGACAACCTCAAGTATTTCAAATATACCCCTGTGATGCCCTCTATTAGTATAACGAGGCGAAGTGGATCATGATCTGCTCGATGAATATGTGGATTTGTGTAAATATGTTGATCCCCCCACCAGGGAAGAGCGCTCCATCATTCTCGGATCAACGGTAGTGCAGTAACTGGAGCAGAGCAGAGCATATGAAGCAAGGCATGGTTCAGTCCTTTTTACTGCTCTTAGAACTAGTATGCGGATCAGCGTGTTTCAAGTGATTCACCCTAAGCCCTACCAAGTGCTTACTACTTAGAGTTCCGGTTCGTCATGGCAAGAACGGATCTTCATTAGCAACGCTCTTTTACTGAGCTCAAGCTTAACCCAGAAAAGCTTGTCTATGGCACCCGTCGTCTAGACAGGCAATCTTAGTTGCGGTGACAACCTTGAAGTGTTATCTGAATACGTTGTTTCACATGATTACTCAAGCCATATAGATTTCACCGAACTGGAGAATGTTTAGGAACAGTTGCCAAGATTGTTAGTTTGCGTGGAGCCCCCTACGGTTAAACTTCGCAAGTCCCTTGCATTGATATCTTTCCCTTCGGAAGCAGATCCGCCACGGACAGAACGCCGAAGAGAAAGAATATCGGACTTGCCCTTTGGGAGAGCTCCCAGACTGAACCGAGAATGCCTGACTCTTTATCCTCGAGACCTATATCATGTAGGTCCGACATTTGGTCGTTGCAGTTGAGGGTTCCTTGTGCACGAGTGACAGCTTCTTTGGAGACAATCGGGTGGACGGAGCCACGTCATGGAAAGCATTCCCGAATAACAAATTGATAACTCCTGACTTGAACAGTGGAGCATATCTACTTACCAGGAAGCTTGTAATGGCCAACCTCCCTGAATCTGCCAATGTAAACAGACACCAGAAGAGGTTTGAAATAATCGCACAAAAGAAGTTAAAATAACAAGGCACTGCTGATATTTCCGCTTGTAGAACCTGCTAGAATTCTGTCTTTGAATTTGAGACAACAGGTAATCTTGTTTGGGGTACGGGAAGATCATGGGGATGTTGTGTGGAATCGTAAGCTGTACGCGTAAAATTGGATCTATTATCCACTAGTCTGCGTTCAGGTGATCATGCTAGTTCAGCTAAAGGTATAAAACAAGGATAATGAATTGTACACGTTGGCACTTCTTGATATAAGCAAGGCATAATAGTGCTCACACTAGCCGGTGATAACCTTAGAAACAACGTGTGGAAAAAGTTGGAAAACCCTGTGATGTCTGCAAGAAGCTAGCGATCAATGTTTTTTTTCCCTTTTTTTTTTTTTAAAAAAAAAAGGTTAGAAACTGGTCTGATAGCCATGATTGATGTACACTCAAAGCGCCCATTTCAACCACTAGATGGGTATTCGAAAGCTCCTAGTATATAGTATTTTGATCGACCGAACTCAAGCTATTGAGTGGAAGGAAATGGTAACGCCGCCGGATGATAGGTCAAAATACGCCTTGTCAGATATCTGAGACAGACAGGCCGGTTAATCCTCATAAATCCCCTCCTCACTATCGATATATTAGCTCAAAAAAGCCTTATGCTGAGAAAACATAGGAAGGGATGCATGGAATGGCGCTCACAAAGATTCCCGAAGACTTTCTCTCCCTTCTGCAGCCGAGTTGACCCAGACACTAACCTGCATTTCATAAACAGGAAATATTCCGTAACCTTTCTTATCAATGATGACTGTCCTTGGATGCCATCCCAGAATGTCTGTCCATTGCTCCTTGGCATGGCTCCGCCCGACGTACATACGTTTCTGAGACGCACCCGCGTTGCTCATGATGCATGCTAGACCAGACGGGTGATGCAAATTGCCATAACGGACGAATCCTACTATCTGTTAGGTGGTCATGACCAAGCAGCTCGAATACTGTTTGGGATACACACCGATGCAATTGGCCTGATCAAAATAGTCGCATTGTTCGCCGTAAGCGTAAAGCTTGCGAGCCCGTGCAAGAACTGGAAGCTTCCTACCACAGGATGGGGTCATGGGATTTTTGACGCCGCGTCTGATACCGTAAAGATCTCCATAAAATATACACGGCTGTCCCTTGTCTCGGAGTAGAATCAATGCATAGGCGAGGGGCGTGAAGAACGATGCAATCGGAGCCTGAGGAGCTTATTAGTTGTTTCCAGAATCCAAAAGGACCATGTGTCGTACCTCTAGGGACTGTCCTGGTTGCTGTAGGATAGTCTATTAACATCTCCATGGATGCTGGTCCACGACGGGTCTCTCTTACTGTATCATGATTCATAACTAGAGTCTACTCATACGGTAAGCATAGTGCAAACGAAGGATAAAACCGGAGAGGCCTTACAATTGCGTGTGCTGGCTTGTTCTCTACCAGTGTATCATTGAAAATCTTGCGAAGATCTGCTCCTCCCGTGCGCGAGAACCTCGAGAAGCGTCCCACTAAGGGGGCATCGAACAGAGACAGCTGGTGATCCATGTTCTGCAGATAATGCGTAAGAACCCGGACATCGCCGCTCCAGTACTCCGCAACGAAGGAAAGCTGCGGCCCGACAGTTGCTCGAACGTGATTGACAAATTTCTTCTGGAAATCAGCCGAGTAGTGTTTGCTTGCATCTAACCTCATGCCGCGGAGAGGTAATTGGCTTCCTATCCATTCTCCCCATCGGAGAACGTCCTTCTGAACTTCTAGGTTGGAATAATCTAGGTCAGCGAACATAAGATAGTCATAGTTTCCCTTCTCGTGCGCCACGTCATCAGACCATCTTTTGCTAGCGACTTTGTATATCGCATTTTTCTTCCGAGCTTCATCCCAGTCAACGCCGCTGAAATGATGCCAACTATATTTCATGGGACTATGTAAGCTGTCACGGCCCGGGAAACTGAATCCAACCCAGCCCTCAATCTCCTTTACAGCGGAGATTTCAACACTGCGGTCTTTTGTCCCAACCCAGAGCATTAGTTAACCGACTGATATGGATTCTCTACGGCTAGAGATCATACCTTTTGGGTCCACTTTTACAGCTGGAAATCGTTCGGTATAATCTGCACCAGCTTTGTGATTAAGGACTGCATCCCAGTAAATGCCAATACCGAGATTCCGCGCAGAGGAAGCTAGAGATTGGAGTTCTGCCTTACTACCCCATTTTGTAGATCGTGACCCCTTCTGGTCAAACTCCCCTAGATCGTATAGATCATAGATGTCATAGCCATTGCCGGAAGGGGTCATTGCTTTACATCCCGGTGGGATCCAAATACTATCAACACCGATAGATTTCAAACTCATTAGTGAGCGCTGAAGGCGTTTCCAATGCCCTTGATCATCTGGAACATGCCATTCGAAACCCTGTAACATGAGCGAATTATCAGGGGTATCCCATGATGGAAGTTTAGCTAGATGCTGTGCCTCTTCTATGCATAATCGCGTATTTAGTATCCACAAACTGGCAGCTTATCTATAGAGAGGCAAGAGAACTGACTTTCAATCCTCTTCCATTTTTTTCTTTCAGCCCTTGCTTTGGGATCACACCAGGACGGGATGGGTAACATTGATGGCCTGAATAGAATGAAAGCCGCTGTGAGAGACTACAAAGTAAAGCTGATGAAAAAGTCCAACAAGTGAAAACTGATTTTCTGACAGGTATAGCCAAATATAGGAGAGGTGCGTCATCATGCACCGTTCTACTTCAAATAGACGTATCAACTGTTTCGGTACCCAGGCAGTCGGTGTGGAACACGGGTCAGATACTGGATGACCTTGAAAGGCATGATAAAACCGCTGTCAGGTGTTTAGTGGATACAAGTCAGCGCAAGCAAACAGGCACCCTCGATTCGAGTGGAAGATTAGGTGGTGATTGAGCTTTTGCCTTCTTGACCGCCATGGGTTATCAGAACTGTTTATAATTGACTTGTTAATCACGGTGCCAGCAGTAAACATTTTGTAGTTCCCTCCACAATGAACGAATTTAAAACCCAACCGTAGTTGAGAGATCGTTTGTTCCCTTTCCAGGGTAATTTTTGGTGGAACCTTGGAAGTCAAGTTGTGAAAGGAACCCAGGAGATATTGCACCAATTAAAGATTGTACAATCATCCGGAGGCTGCCTGAGGTATCCATAAGGGATGTCTCGGGTGGGGATCCGAGGGAATGACATATCAAACCGGGAACAGTCGAATGGCCAAGAGATATTAAGTAAAGTATTAAGTAAAGCCCGATAAAAAGTTGTAACAGTTATTAAAATGATGGGACCCTGTAGCGCAGTGCATTCTTTGCCCTGGGATTACTGACAGTCATGGAAATGCTCTGGTGGTTCTATTGGCATAGTAGGTAGGGGTTCATGTTCATCGGGCGTTCATGAATGCCTGAGGCGACCAATTGCCAGTACTATCAAACCCGGACGATAACATGGGACACGTAGCTTTTTCTTGGTTTGGACCCTTTCACTGACTGCGAGTACTTGAAGAATAATGAAACGAAGAAGACTAGTCGTCAGAGAAATTATATAAATCGTCTCTGTAAAAGCAGCAACCATGAGAAATCAATACGTAGATACGTAGTAGTATACTATCTCTCTCAGTGCTGTTGACCGGGCGATCGGATTTAACGGTGGCAAGTCGTCGTGCCGCCGACCCTCACCCGCATTGGCCGCGAAAAGTTTTCGGGTTGCGACTAGTGCCGACCGCCATCCCTTTCAAATCCTCTCCTCCCGGATTCAATTTCTTTCCATCTCAATCCCTGCTGAGCTTCAATTGCTTGACATTTCCACCCTCCATCTCCCCACTCCTCTCTTCCCTTTTCCCTTTTGTGTTTAGAGCAGAGTACGACTCTCCATATAATATAATGTCCTCTAAAGCCGAATCCCCCGCTCCCGCTGCTCCTCAGCAGCTCAGCGGCCTTGCTCTCTACTCCAGATTCGCCTTCGCTGGTGCTGTCTGCTGCTCCGTCACCCACGGAGCTCTTACTCCTGTCGATGTGTAAGTCCAATTGGGTCGCCATAATTGCATTGAATGCGCCTTGTTCCGGCATTCCCGCTTGTAGTGTCCGTACTGATCTTTCCTTTCCTGCTATACAGCGTCAAGACCAGAATCCAGCTTGACCCCGTCACCTACAACCGTGGTATGATCGGTGGTTTCCGTCAGGTTATTGCCAACGAGGGTGCTGGCGCTCTCCTCACTGGTTTCGGTCCTACCGCCGCCGGTTACTTCCTTCAGGGTGCTTTCAAGTTCGGTGGTTATGAGTTCTTCAAGCAGCAGTGGATTAACCAGCTCGGTTACGAGACTGCCTCCAACAACCGCACCGCTGTCTACCTTGCCTCTTCCGCCACCGCCGAGTTCTTTGCCGATATCGCTCTTTGCCCTCTTGAAGCCACCCGTATCCGTCTCGTCTCTCAGCCTACTTTCGCTACCGGTCTCCTGAGCGGTTTCGGTAAGATCCTCAAGAACGAGGGTGTCGGCGCTTTCTACTCTGGATTCGGACCCATTCTCTTCAAGCAGTAAGTTTGCACTGATCTCGTCAAGTTTGAGCAAGCAAGTCTAATCGAAATTTCAGGGTTCCCTACACCATGGCCAAGTTCGTCGTTTTCGAGAAGGCTTCCGAGTCTATCTACCGCAGCTTTGACAAGGAGACCCTCACCGATGGTGCTAAGACTGCCATCAACCTTGGCTCTGGTCTCATTGCTGGTTTCGCTGCCGCTCTCGTCTCCCAGCCCGCTGATACTATGCTGAGCAAGATCAACAAGACCCCCGGTGAGCCTGGTGAGGGTACTGTCTCTCGTCTCATCAAGATCGGTAAGGAGCTTGGTCTCCGTGGCTCCTACGCCGGTATTGGTGCCCGTCTGTTCATGGTTGGTACCTTGACTGCTGGTCAGTTCGCCATCTACGGTGACATCAAGCGTCTCTTGGGTGCCACTGGCGGTGTTGAGATCGGCAAATAGATTATTACCACATGACTAGTTTGGTGTACTATATGCTACTAGATTTGCGTTAAAATATTTGTTTGCAATAGATTTCTCTTCGCGATTTCTTTCTCTGTGATTGCGATTGCATGATGTCCACAACAAATTGGCACAAGCTGAACATGCTACGGGCATGCTGTAATGTTTTCTCCCTTCATGAACGTTCGGTTAGTGTACTAGTACTAGTAGTATGGTAATTTCAGGATGGAGAAGGGTCTCATTTGAACGAGGTTTTTGTTGAAGTGAATCTAGAAGCGCTTACGTTTCCAAGCGAAAGAAAGCCTCTCCGATATAAATGGGCACTTTCTCACACGCGGCCTACAGAAGGGAAAGTTCGACATGTATGATTGTTTAGCCAGAGAGACCCAGCTTACTTTGCCAGAAAAACCGTACTCTGATGGATTTAATAGAGCACGATATCTAACCAAGAAACAGTCGCTCATTGTTTGATTCAAGCAGCAAGATAAGTATATACAACAGATACATGTTAGCTTCAGATAACACGGCGTCGCATAAAAGATTTGTTAGATACACCCTTTGGGCTTTGCGGCTACCCAGTAGATAACAGAGTAGTTTTGAGCCTCCCCCAGAAAGCTTTCTTCTGCGACACGCCGCCTACAGATAAGGCTTTTGTCGGCCCTCGGCCCAAATATAGTGTACCAAGTGTCTATAGACTGGTATAAAAATGGCCAGGGAGTCACGATGTCGTTCACACTCCGAGTGAGCTTGGTATATAGCCTTCGTCAGCCTCTTTGAGCCATACTCGGCAAAGTTATTCTGTCGCGCTGTATCCGCGATGGGAACTTGATAGAGATAATCAAGAAAATGTGGGTGATGTATAGGCTCTGGAACCCCTGTCTTGGGGGCCACAAACAGTGACCGAGAATTTACGATGTTCTGGCTGGGTCGCTGTTCGAAGTGCCAAAATGTTAGTCAAATTGTCCTCATTGATCAGATGATGGATGAAACTTGAATTCGTAGCCTGGTGTAAGTAGAGGCGCCAATGGAACGTGTAACTGATCTCGCCTCGTTTCAGACAGAAGAATATAGAGCCCGTTGACCTCAAAAGGTACACTGTGGCACGCTTGAGCCGGACTGGCATAATCTCGATGTTTGTGAGGCTTTGCCGCTTATAGCAAGTTCGTGTTGTAATGTTAAAGGTGATAGCTTGAATGCAATAATAGAGGGATTGGGAGCAGGTACAATGTCGCCTCGTATGTGTACGACCGACCCCCTGCCTAGCTATATGGTTAGAGCTGGTGCAGCGCCAATTTGGTCTTGAGTATGTGGGCTTCCGCATGCAAAGACCCCCAGAGATTGTAGCTTCGATGGTTTAGTCGAACGAACACATGCCTAGTAGAGCATCTGGTTAGAAACTAGCGGGCTAAATATATGGTGTACATAAGTAGAGTAAGAGGATGAATTCAGACTGAATCAATCAGTGTCAACTTCGTTCAGCGAGCAATATCGCATACTCAACCTCCCCCCTCCCCCCAGTCTACGGCGGAACCTGGAGCCTTCGACTCATCTAAGCGTGTTTATCGAAACCTGATGTTTTATATTGGGTACAGTGCTGTTCCTAAAGACCGATCCTGATATTGAACACAGTACGGATCGTGTTGCACTTGTCTTAGTATGATACAACAAGCGATGCGAAGAGCCGCCCATACATCGGACATAGGTGCTGAAATAATTAAAGGCCATGTGTCAAGCGATCTCAGGCAGGGATGAACTCCCGCCTGCTTTCTGGGGATTTTTGCCAGGCTGCTGAGATTTCAAAGCCAGAAGGCAGGATATAAATGATAATTTTGGAGTCGGGGTGGGACTGAGCTCGCACAAGCCCATCTAGAGGTAGTAGTGATATTCACTTGCGATACGGTAACTGGACGACGTAAGTCCTCCGTCTCTGGCTGTGATGGCTGGGCCTGATGGATTGGGTTGTCCTGGAATATTGTCCGGCACCGGAATGTCAGTCCAGATCCCCATCATCGTCTCCAGTACCGTAAGGCTCTACGGAAGATCAGCCAATAACTATGGCCACCGTTCTATGTACGTAATGCTCAGACAACACCAGCATAATGCACCAAGATCAGAGGTTTATGTTGTATAGTCTTCTGGAGTTGGTGCCGAAGGCGGGTGGTAAGCTTGCGTCGTAGGGAGCGGGTGGAGGACAGAGGAAGGGTGACGGTAGGACTACTGTACCGATAACCGGGTAAGGGGGCGAGGTAGGTATGTAGATGCGAACAATTCTCATTAATATGCACCGTATAGGGTTAGACACACGTATGGTACTATGGCTTTGTGCTCAGTCATACCTAGTTTGGCATTGTTTCCATATCCAAATTTCTCTGATATTCCCCCAAAACCCAGACCACTATTATCAGGATAATAGAAACCGTCGAATAGATTACAAGACGTGGAATGTAACCCGTCAAGACACAAGAGGGCGCTCGAGGAATCGTAGTTATCCATGAACATGAGGCTGAGCCTTCGAGGAACTTGAAGGGAGATATCTGGATGAGGCAAAGAAGATAGAAAAAAAAGTTGCTACGTGCTAATAGCAGGGACACCAACCTGGAGGGCACGGAACAGAATATCGCTGAAATCCATGAGACATCCAGCTCTAGTCTGTTATGCTCACGGCAAGTTGGAAATTTTTGCTGCGTTCGAAACAACAAACTCTGTTCACGTATCGCCAAGGATGTCCATGGAGAAGCTAAATCCAGGCCCGCATATGTTCTCAATAGTGTTGGCTAGAGGGTGAGCCTCTAATGGAGAGGGAGATGGGCTACTTTCGAGTAGATGAGGGAAAGGCGCCGAGGGAAGCGAGTTCATACCGTGTCTTCTTCGCCCGCGCTGTGCCTGCTCACTTTACCCTGTTTAACAGCATGTGCATCTTGAGGATGATATTAATGCAGTCTTGCAAATGGCATGAGGTAATGGAGAACCACTTTAGATTACAACTACGACAGAGTATGAAAAACGTATTAAGGTATGGTGTGCCCTAAGGAGCTCTCGACATCAGGATAAGAGTGTGATTGCGGTCTCAAGACGTGGCTGTGAGCATCATTTACATAATTCAAAGAGTAATTTGAAATATAACGGACCTCGGAATGGGAGAAAAACGGAGTGCCTCCGGACAAGGTGCCCCATCGACTTGATTGTGTGGATCAAACCACAGCCCTTCCGAAAAATGTCCACCCCGTTCATTCTCCGGTCACACCGCCGTCAGTAAGTTCAGGAGATCTGCAAAGAGCAGATGATGGCATACGAGTGGATAATCGTTGCATTGAGCGAGATATTACTCCTGATAGGGTACAAGTTGCAATGGTGTGCTACTAGGGTTGGCTGTGAAGCACGAAAATACCGCCAGGATTGTGATCGCTATGTATGTAACTGATTAGGGTCTTGGGTGATGACAAGATAGGGTGGCTGCATGGACTGAGAATTACGTGCAAGCCGCTAATGTACAACCCAAGCGCAAGAAATACCCTGCTATACAGAGATTGAAGGTTTGTATAACGATTACCCTGTTCGGACAAGGCATTGTTAATAGGAGTGACATACCAAGCATTGCGAAGGCGTCTTGATAGCACAATAGCTATACCTAGACGCATTATGTCCAAGGGAAAGGGTCCTCAGTCATATTCTTGGAGTGAATCTAGTACTGCCTAACCCTGTAGACTGTATGTTTATGCAAGGGAATCCTTGGACCCCCCTGTTCCTTGTCACAAAGGAAGATAGTGCATAGCTCCACTACCAGAATATACCACATGAGGCAAGAGAGGATAGTAGGTGGACACCTGGACTGCATAGAGCTCGGGAGAGGTGAAACATGCACCCTGGACAGGGACAAGGCAGTCTGGAGTTACATCAGAAATGAGGAGGTGGGGACGCAATGATACATGAACCGTGGACAGAGTCAGAGCGAGCAACCTCCGACATTAATGACTAGAGTCCGTCAAGGCAGCCCTGCGATGACGGAGCCCTTGAAAGTCAAGGCAGAATCTGTGGGTCCCTTTAAAAGCTTGGCAGGATTATCGATTCTTCTTCTCGTTAGCTTTACTGCAACCGTATCCCTCTTGTTCGTACGTTTTGCCCTAACCGGTCGCTTTCTCTCTGCTGCTGGCGGCATGTCAGAGGTAAGGTCAGGTATGGCCTCGCTGTGACTAGCCCTAGAAAGAAGCACATGGAGTCTGAGCACGCCATAATAGATCGACTCAACTACTTGTAGTATCCCATGCCCTGTGCCTTGTGATGAGTGGAAGAACCAGCATACCACAAACAGAATGCAGGTCGACCAGCAATTGATACCTGTATAAAGCACTAGATAACCCAGCTATTGAACCCTTGGCTACGTACTACGGAGTACGTCTCGAGGCCCAGCGTAACCTACTGGGGACGTTGAGATATAGCGTACTCAACATATACCTCACTTGAAACATACTGTTCCCCCATTCAGAAGTACAAATGCCAGTATGATAAAGTTTGAGATTCAAAGATCAGCGTGATACTTTGTACGAACCTCACCGGGGTAACATCTGGCCATGTTTCAGCCCCTGAAAAGCCGATAGTTGTGGCCAAGACTGAGAGGCGCAGCATTTTCTACCCTCCGCGCTGCGGCACTGCCTCGCTGAAGTGGACGCTTCGGTCAACCTGTGGGGGCTGATGGTTAGGGCCCCAACGGTTCTAGGGTTCGATAACCGCAACATCCCCACAAGGGTCCCAATCAATAAGGCTTTAGGGTCACCGTTTCTAGTGTAATTGCTTTTGTTGGCAGCTCTCCAGTTCAGATGTCGAAAAAAATTACTAAGCGGAAGAGTTTCATCGGGTTTTATGGGCAGACGGAAGTTCAAGGTACCAAGCCACCGAATAGAAGCTTGTAATGGCCTGGACTGTCTTGGGGTGTTGCTCATAAACATTGTACTGAGGCATTAACCGCCCTCTCCTATCTTCTTCGTGCTGTAGGGCCCTAATCGTAGTTTCTTCAAAGACAGTATTCCATTGTGTAAGCAGTTAATTTAATGCAGAGCGTTGGGTATATCTAATTCTAGCGTATGTATTTAACATAATAGAAGCTCCTTGCTGTATTTTGCGCGGCAAAGGAGCGTATCGAACCAATGCAGTATGGGGATGAAGGAAAGTGAGGAAGACATCAGAAAGAAAAAACGAACGCATCCACCCACATTCCATTGAGCTGGTGAACAAAAAAATGAATCATCACGAAAGACGTGCTTCCTCATCCTGCCCATCTAATATCAAGGTATATCTTGACCGTCTTCTTCTCACCCGTAGGATATAGAACGTCAACACCAGTAAGCCAATTCCAACTGCACCAAGACAAATCTCACGCCAGTGTTTGTAGATGTAACTAACTATTGCCACATCATTTCCATGCCAGGTGGATCCTGGGGCGTGTCCAAAGAATGAATACGCAGTGGTGTCGTACATCATAGAAGGCAGTATAGCAACGCCATGTGGCATGGTAATTTCCTCGCCGGGGCCATTTTGTACTTTTCGAAACCACTCCGTCAAGAAGCTGCTGAGATACATCGGTCCCGTCGTAAAAAACACAGTGATATACTTGGAGAGGTAAAAGCCATCGTGATCATACAGACCCAGGGCAACTTTGGTGATGAATGGATGTCCCGGGGTACTCGCCATCAGGTCGTTACTGACACCGTATGGTTGGGTCTTGGGTATCCAGGCAGGGAATTCCAGCAGCGGGTCCAACGGTCGGCGACAAGCTATGTCCATGTCGATATACACGCCCCCGTAATGCCACAGTAGGAAATAACGGATGGCATCGGCGCGTTGAATGTTGTATGGGTAGGCATCGTAGGTGGGAAGGAACCAGTCAAAATGGGATTCGATGAACTGACGAGAGGACTCGTCAGTCCAGAAGTATTGCTTGTAGGTGGGATTCAACACACGACATGACTCGTAGGTCCCTTTCCAATGAGAGGGTATATCTTCTGTCTTGTACGTTCGGTGGATGATTCGTGGGATAAAGGCAGGAGAGGTTTTGTTGTCTGCAGCATCGAATTGGATCGGTTGACCAAGACGGATAGACTCGTTGAGCGCTGTAACATAGGCAGGAGAAAAACTGCCTAGTGAAAGTGAATGGGTTTTAAGGCTGTCAGAGAACTCAACGAATGACTGTGTAAGAGATATTATCAGAAAGACTAGGGAGGTAGTAAAGAACGAAAGGAGAGGGTGCAGTCGTAGCAAAGTCCAAAGGGTAATGAGAGCAATCCAAACCCTGCGTAGAAGCCACCACAGTGATTCCATGGCAAGGACAATCCTCTTTGGCCTTCCCTCTTGATTATTACGATGAAAAGATCAAGTACCATCCTCCTGAGATATACTAGGTTTACTCCTATCGTGGGCCAAGTTTAAGATGGCTGAAGGGACTGGCCCACCCCACTTGGATCCGCTGCAGGTGTTGGCTTGGATATTTGCCCGTTCATGCCGAGTGGTTTCAAGATACACAACCAAAAAATGCTCCACCTCTCTGTATTGACTAAACCCAGACATATGGCGGGGCTATGCTAGATCAATTACATCAAACGGTACGTGATAGGCATCGTTACCCATAGTTAACTTGGCCCTATCCTTTGTTTCGGGACAGAGTGTGTCGCCTGAAGGAATGTATATTCCGGACTTCAATGTTTTACTGATCTCCTGAATGGGTGGCGCGGCCGTGATATTACGGTCTACAGGAGGACGTTTGCAGATGATCCGAACGAGAGAGCAGCTCTAGCCTACTAGGCTAGGAGTGAAAATTTCGATGGGCCGGCTCAGTCCCCCTGCATGACAGACACTAATCGCTACACAAAGGAGGCTACTACAACTCAAGTGCTTGGCGGATTGAGATGCTAGTCCATTGACGAATGTACTATAATAGACGCATCCTCTGCCAGACTAGCCAACTATCTAGCTGCTCATAGACTTGGCCCTAAATGGTTGAAAGTGTAGCGTGTATGTTGTGTAAAGTTCGATGTCGGGTTCAAGAAGTGCCACAGGTGTCACTTATATCACGTAGAGTATGTTGGAACAAAGTATGATGAGCCATTTGGAAGCGAAAAATACTCTGGTACGAAAGCACACCGTGCTGGGTAGTGTGGAAAGTGGAGGAAAATGGTGGATCTCCAGAAATCGTCGGTCAATCTGCACCAGACCTGATGTTGCTACTGCTGTGTATCTGTCCACCTGAGGAGCGGAAGCGACTCCGAAATTGATAGCTTGTTGAGGGCAGATAAATGTGTTGTAATTGTCCACATTGCTGAAGCTGTTCGTCTCTATGATGGAATGACCACGAGACAGATATAGGTAGTCCTGTTACCTGTGCATGCATGCGTCCTCTAAAAGATAAGCACGGCATACTCTCCTATGCTCTGAATTTATATTCCATCGATAACACCTATTTCTTTTCTAGTAGGGTCTAAAATAAGAGGCGCCATCACCTTTGTATCTGTGGCAAGGCTGAAGCGCTTGGTCTCATCTGACCGCGATGGCCAGGAGCAGTGACGGGGTTCTGTTAGTGGCATCGGCCATCTTCCGAGTCATGGTTCGTCCCGACCTAAAGCTGCATCACTGTTAGAAATGGTATTTATCCAATAGTTGGTAATTTGAAGCAATCCGCCAGATGATGCCTTGCTGCGCCTCGTCAACCCCTGATTTAGGGCTGCGGGACTCAGCGGGAGATGCTTGGCGACTTTTGCTAACACCACCCACGGCATTGGTTTCAATTTATCATAATCCACCTTAACCACAATCCTCCCCACTGCTAACCATGGGACTTGACGTAGAACATGGGTTAGGCCAAGAAGACCATAGAGCGCCCTATCATACTGTTCACACCCTCGTTTGCTATCCGTCCAAATGCCTCTCATGTGTCTTGCTATGTGCAGTTACTCGATTCTTTCTCCCGAATTATATACGAAAACGTCGCGGTTACGTCGCTTCCATTGGTTACAGTGATTGTTTACTGGTGGCTATAACGACAAGGTGTACTGTGGACAGTAAGTAGAGACTTAAATCTGCTGTGGTATCGTTGCAAAATGTTTTCATCAGAGATATCAACGACATCTCATATCAGAAGAAGCCGACAAGAAAACAAATAAAGGATGGATGTGATTGACGGTATGAAAATAACCCAAATGTGGCACCTAAAGCCTCATAGCACTTCTCCTGTCCGTTTGAACTGCGACTAAGCTACAATACCATCAAGCCTTGCTAACGCACCGTTTCTGGAACAAGAGCGGTACTTCGTCACGCATCGACAATGTGATAAACGAAGTACTTTCCTGTAAAACTTTCTCCGCCCTTCGACGCATATCGTCCTCGGTCTCACACTCACTGGGTTTCGCCAACATAACATGATACTCACGAAATATAATAGCCACGGCAACTACAAACTCAACCTGAGCGAATTTCTTGCCAACACACGCCCGAAAGCCGTCGCTGAAGGGAATATATGACCCTCGAACTGGTTCATGGATTGTGTCATATTCTAACCCAGGTCCAGACAGACCCGCTCCCTCATTCTTCGCGAGAAAGCTTTCTATGTTCTGCTTATCCCATCTCTTAGGATCGTACACAGCTGCATCTGAGCCCCAGTACTCTTCAGAGTAATGAAGCCCACTAGTATTGACGCTGACATAAACATGCGGCGGAAGGAGGTAAGACTGATTATGATATGTGATATTGACTGCGGAGTCTCCTGTCCACCTGGGGATGCTTGTCACTGGGGGATACATCCGAAGTGTTTCAAGCTGACGGACTCAGTGATCATTCTCGGAACATTGGCAATCACAAAGGTGGGTTATGTCACATACCATTACACATAAAGGGCTAACGAGCTTTGGGTAAACCCGTCTGTAATCCCACTCGACAGGGTTATGAGGCTCGCCACATGTTGCTTCTCGAATCCCCTCATACAAATACTCCTGTGCATCTTGATTGAGAGCAAGGAGCACAAGAGCAAACTGAAGAGTAACAGCAGTGGTTTCATGCCCAGCGATTGTGAATACGAATAGGTTCCCAAGTATCTCATCATCCGTAAGATCAGGGTCGAGTCCTTGGTCTTTATTTCTCTTCTGTTTAGATCTGACTAAACCATCAATCAAATTCTGTGTTAGGGCTTCCTTTGTTTCAGCCGTCGATACTAAAGCCCGCAGATACCTGCCTATATCGTCGAACGCATCAAAGTCTCTCTTGAAGAATGGTAGTATGGACCGTGGGATACATTTGGGAAGGTGGCCATTGGCTATAAATATCGAGGTCATGTGCTTATTCAAATACTCCATCGCAGAGCGGAATGTGAAGTGATAGCCTGGTGAAGGTGTTATGGCGTCTTTGAATAAGCCTTCAGCACTATCAGCCGAATTTTCAAGGACGGGTTTGAACGGAAGCTTCACTCCGTATCCAACACTGCAGATAATATTGAGAGTGAGTTTTAAGATATCCTCTCTAGCGCCTGTTAGAATAAGCTCGGATTGTGAAGAGCTTCGAGAGTGCTCATCCTTCCAATATTGCACCATTTCGTTTGTCTGGCGGATTGTTTCCTCCCAAACCAGGGCGCTAGTTCTCTCATTAAACGTTGCCGCTGTATGTCGACGCAGATGTGCCCATTGAGAGCCTTCGGACTATGATTTATTAGCTGAGCCTTTGAGCACTCGATATCAATGCACATAATACTTTGGACACCTTACTGTGACAATGTTGGGACCATATATGTCCAGAGCCCCTAAGACGTGGTTGTCCATTAGCTTTGCAGCAACATGTGAGCCAGGTCAACATTATTTACCATATTGTTTGTGCGGTTTTGGGAAACCCTGACGAGACATGCAGATCTGAGAGGCCACCGAGGGGTCGCCCACCATGCAAGTTGATACGGCTGGGGTAATAAGCATATAAACTCCCCCATGCCTCTTGTGGAGACGGTCCTTTATTACCCAGCGGGTTTTGAAGTTGCTACCATAGATATAATCGGCCAACTTGGGTGGGAGCCATGTGCTGATCACATATGGAACGAATCGAGTCTCGAAGAGAGATATGAAGAATAAATTATGCGACGAGATAGGAAATGAGACGTATGGCAATCCAATCTTCCGCGCACGGTTCCTGTGTTGAATAAGACAGAGACCTAGGTAGGCAGTATAACTGACGAATAGAGAAAAAAGGGTGATTCCGAGCATACTTCTGCAGTTTGTTAGTAGTTGTAGCCGAAAAGATGGATATCATCTCCGTCCCTTAGTACAGACAAGGAATCAAAGCGAGTGATTATGCCGTTCCTATTAGGACATGTCACACTATGCCTTCGAAGTACCGTGACCTCTGTACTACTACGACTACTACTTCATTCCAATACCGCCACAGACGTCAATGTGATTGGTACCAGTAGGGACTGCGCTCTTTTCTATCATTCTTGTTGCCTCAGGCTGCCAACCTTTCGTTGCAGTATTCAATGCCTCAGGCATTTATTTTAGCTTTGATGATGGATGCCTTAGTGATCTTCCCGATGTTGCCCTCGTTCTGGCTGTCCTTTTCCAATAAGCATACTACTTACTGCATTACTTCTTCATAATCATCTCCACCTACCTAGTCGTGCCCACTCCTTTATTGTGCTACTGATTTCACCCTTACCTGTTGTTCATCACGCAACCTTTCTCTAGTTATATTATGATTTGACGTTCGAGCGCTCACTATGTCTCCATACTTTGGACTCCTTAGGGTCCTTCCCTTCCTCCTCACAGCCTTTGCGTCTTTAGCTTCATCCGAGCACACATCGAATTGGGCCGTCTTAGTTTCGACCTCGCGCTTTTGGTTCAATTACCGCCACCTCGCAAATGTCCTCTCGCTGTATCGTACCGTCAAGCGCCTCGGAATCCCCGATTCGCAGATTATCCTGATGCTTCCCGACGATATGGCCTGCAACCCTCGCAATGTGTTCCCGGGAACAGTCTACAGCAATGCGGATCGTGCAGTCGACCTTTATGGAGATAATATTGAGGTGGATTACCGGGGCTACGAGGTCACCGTGGAGAATTTCATCCGCCTTTTGACCGATCGGCTAGACGAAGATGTACCACGGAGCAAACGCCTTGGCTCTGACGCGGGAAGTAACGTACTTGTGTATATGACAGGACATGGAGGAGACCAGTTTCTCAAGTTTCAGGACTCCGAGGAGATTGGCGCCTGGGACTTGGCGGATGCCTTCGGTCAGATGTGGGAGAAGAAGCGTTATCACGAGCTACTGTTCATGATCGATACTTGTCAGGCCAACACGATGTATACGCATTTCTATTCGCCCAATATCATTACCACCGGGTCCAGTGAGCTTGATCAGTCGTCATACTCTCATCATGCCGACAACGATGTTGGAGTTGCAGTGATTGACCGTTGGACCTACTACGTCCTCGAGTTTCTTGAAACCCAGGTCACAAATGCGAACTCTAAACTGACGTTGGGCGACTTGTTCGATTCGTATGACGAAACCAAGATCCACTCACAACCAGGCGTGCGATGGGATCTGTTCCCTGGTGCCGAGCAGGAGGGCCGCCTACGAACGGTGGTGGACTTCTTCGGAAACGTCCAGAACATTGAGGTTGAGAATACCACTGCGACAGACCCAGGATCCCTAAAAGAAGATCTCATTGAAATTGCGCGACTGGTTGAGAAATGGCGCGCTCGCGACCGAGACTACCTGGTCCGTCAAAACGACTCATCGCTTCGCGGAGGTAACGACAACTCTGGATCACAAGTTTCTTCATCACAGTATTCGGCGCGGAAGAACTTTGAGCCTGCCAAAATGTCCCAAGAAGCTCCTTGGGAAAAAAGATTAGTCGGAGCATCTGTCTTGGGGGTCTGCGCTGCTGCCTGGCTGACTGGATCGATCTTAGGCAGGTCCTCGGTTTGATCATGGTTTGAATTTCAACCTAACTATATATTTCATGTCTCTATGGCCTCATTCTCTTGCTCATCCATGGCATTCGGTTGTGCTTTCCTATACTACCAGCGTACAGTGTGACTACAGCTTGTGGCCTTGCATTATGTGATACCTAGTTTCAGGAGTACTGACAGGCGTTGTTGGATTATTTTTTTTATCCCTTCTTTCTTCTCCCTCGATCTTAATATATATGCCCTTTTCGCACATAATGGACATACTACAGCTAGATCTCTTGCATGGACGGCATTATAGCCGCTCTTCATGCTCAAATCCAGATGAAGAGCACGAGTCACCTACATCCAAGCTACTCTGTATCTCAAGAAAACAAAGAAGCAGAGAATGCCGTTGTGCGTTAATCATTGTGATACTGAGATAAGGCAGTTTCTATATCACAAATCGGACTGCGACCTGTGGATCTTCATGAATTATTTGTTGATTTTGATGAATGTTATTTTTTTTGACTATTCTCTTTCCCTTGCTTATTCTCTGACTAGTAATTTTATGCGGGTCATGAATGATGATTTTATGCCAGGAAATTAAATTTATTGAACCAAAAAGCGGGCTTGGCGGCAATCTCCGCACGTGTGGCACGTCCCCGACGCGTCTGGACATTCGCGACGAATTGCTTTTGTTACCCCATGAGACTCGCCAACACCCGGGAATGGAGCCAACCAAAACACCGTTGACTTTGTTTGTGTGAGCAGTCTGTGGTTTGATTGTTTCTCAGCTTAGAGCAGGGCCTCTTGGGGGCCTAACTTCAGTACCTGTTGGCTCCTTCGTTCGCGTATCGTTCGTCGACCCCCGGCTGCCATGTATCTACCTCGCCAGCTCATATCGCACCTTTACCTACAACTCCTCCGATCACATCATCCGCTGTCTCCGCCTGTGTTGATTCTCGTGGCTCTGGAGCCCGATGCACTCTGCGCTTGTCGAATTCTCACTGCTCTGCTAAAACGCGACTATATACCCCACAAGATCCAACCAGTTGCGGGATATGGCGATTTGTCTCGTGCGGGGGAGGAGCTTGTCAAGCCCATGCAGACTACCAATGGTGGTAGTGGCGGCGTGGTGGTCTGTCTAGGAGTGGGTGGCTTGGTGGACCTGAGCGAGATACTTTGTCTCACCAACCCCGAGGATGAAGTGGAGGATATGGGCGGGGTTGAGGTCTGGGTGTTTGATGCGAGACGACCGTGGAATTTAGCCAATCTTTTTGGTGGCCAGCCCGTGTCGGAGCAAGCGCTGGGCGAGATTGATGCCAATGCGCGACGAAAAACGCGCGGTGTGAACAAGGGATGTATTGCCCCCTCATACAAGTCAGGTAGTGGGGGCATCGTGTCTACGACGATGGGGATATTGAGGAAGACATGGGCAAGGAGCGAGAAGCATATTGCGCATTGTTAGAGATGCCAGAGATAGATGAAGAGGACGAGGAGGATCTCGGTGATGACTCGGGCAGTGAAGGGGAAGTAGACCAACCGTCTAGTTCAGATTCCAGAAAACGCAAGTCATGGTCACGGACGGATGACGAGGACGAATCTGACGAGGAGGACGGGCCGCCTCGTCAACGGAGGAGGAGCAATTCGGTATGTTCTACGTGGGGTCAGTATCCCTTCTGTGGCACTAATGTAGCTTGTAGGGGTCCTCGCTTGTTTCCTCCCCAACTCGTCAACGACCCAGGGTGCATGATCCTTTTCATTCGTCACGCGCTGTCACACCAGTCTTAGAATCGCCGTCGATTGCGCAACCCAAACAGCCATCCGCGCGTTCGTTGAAACGGCGTCTACTGCGACTAAAACGAAAACATGAGGGTGTGCTACAGAATTACTATTCCTCCGGCACCTCATACTCAGAACCTATATCGTCTCTAGTGTACTCGTTGGCATCGGAGCTTGGTCGTGAAGACAATGACTTGCTCTGGCTTGCCATCGTCGGCGCATCTAGTTTAGAACTTAGCGGCCGCACAATGTCTGGTGTCGGTATCTCCAACTCATCGGAATCTGGAGGGTCAGCTGGTTGGGGTGGAGAACGGGGTGAGAGTATACGACAGATTTTACGGGACGAGGTCCATCGACTGAATCCGCCGGATCCTTATGAACGCGATCGAGATATAAGAGGAGAGATCAATGGTGTTATCCCCACCACGGCAAAATCACCCACAGATAAGTCTATTCGCCTGTCGCCCGAACCTAGATTCATTCTTATACGTCACTGGTCGCTATATGATAGCATGCTCCACAGCCCCTACTTAGCATCCCGATTACATGTGTGGACCGAAAATGGTAGGAAACGACTAAACAAACTCCTAGCTAAGATGGGCATCAGCCTGAGCCAGTCCCACCAGAGTTACACCCATATGGATATGGAATTAAAACGAGTACTACGCCAACGCCTCCTTAAGTATGCACCAATGTACGGCCTGGATGGCTTGGTACCCGCGGAGGCATCTGGGCATGCTAGCTCTCGTGAGGGATGGGGTTTCGTGCGCTGCTGGGGCTGGAAGGCTTGTTTGTCTGCCACCGATGTGGGTGTTATCATTGGTGCCATGCTCGAGGTCGGACCAGAGGAGGCGCCTGGGTCGTGGGACACAAAACACCTGTCGCGACCAAGGAGTGCGCCCGAATTGAATGGTGTCGACTCTACCGAGTCGGACCTAGCCAGTATTGTGCCCCGATTCTGGTGTGCATATGATGCCTTATCTCTGACCTCTGAGTCACCCACGCTTCTCCTAGAGGCGCTTCCCCTTGCTCAACACCTTCACCGCTCGATTTTGCGCACCGGTACTTCTTTACTTTCAAAACATCAGATTCGACACTTGCGTGCGTTTCGCATCGCTGTTGTCAAAGATGGGCCGGACGTCAAGCTGTTCACTAATCCAGGGGCGTTGACTAAGTTGGCCCTGTGGATTGCCGAGGCAATTCGAGTGCAGGAGCGGGAGCGAGGTGATTCAGTCAAGATTGGGCGCAAGCGCGCCGCAGGAACCCCTCTGGTACTGGCTGGACTGGATGAAGATCGAGACCTTTATGTAGTTGTCGGTACTGGTGGGGGAGGTGGTGTGGTTGACTTCGCCGCTTTGAATAAACGGCGAGAAGAACGCCGGAAAAAGAAAGAAGCCAAAGAGACGAAGCGAAAGGAAAAGGAGGAGCGGCGCGCGAAGCGTGCGACAGAGCGGGCTCGACGGGAAGCGGACGGCGAAGAAGACTTCGAAGAAAGTGAAGAGGAAGAATCATCCTCTGAATCGGAGTCCGAGTCGGAAGACGACGACGATACACGCGCCGATCGGCATCTGCTGCGGAACCGTTTTGGAATTGCTTTCCAAGAAGTCGTCCAAGAAACTAACACTCGCGTTCGTATTGACAGCTTTGATCACTGTGTGGTCGAAGTGCAGAAGGAAGACCTCGGCGCCTTCCTTGAAGCCTTGAGTTTCCGCAGCGTGGTCGGCTAAAACGTCGCTTATGACTTCACTTAATACTATCTCGAATCTCTTTTATGGGGCTTCCTTAACGACCGGTTCGGGTGGCTGGGTGGGTTGTCTTTCGTTTCTACTTTTTTACGATGAAGATCTCTTGAGCATTGCGTACGATGAGGCTTGCGGAGTGCAAGGGAACGGTTTCTGCTATTCACAATAAAAGGGAAGGGAGGACATGCGTAATGACTGGTTGGGATCTATACGATCATTCTTTCTTTTTTTTTCTCTCTCTCTTTTTTCCTATTCACTTTTGGATCAACAGCATCTGCATCATTGTCATAGTCATGGCCATTTTGCATCTTCTCTGCACATGTCACGGCGCTTGCGGTGTTTTTGAGAGCCCTATATTCCTTATTCTTATTTTTCCCTGGTTGCATTGTTCTGTTAGACTGATTGGATTCTTCCATGAGTGATCATGCTGTGGATAACAAGGTGCTAGATCTTTCTATAATCTAGAGAGAACTTGACAGTTCTGTTTTGGCTCTACATCGGACTAGTCTCCGATTCTCTTTTCTCCCCCCGCATTTGCTACCCAGTATGTGTGGGGTTCAAATAGTAGAGAGCTTCCCCCCAACCATAACAACAACTACACCACCACCACCACCACCTCATTCCTTGAATCAATTGAACACTCACTCAATTCCATTCGGGAAACGAGCCATCATGTCCTCTCCACAGGAGTATCCCGTTCTACCACGCGAAACCACATTAGCCCAATTACCCCCCGCATATCCCGCAGACGCCCAAGATCAGATCTCCCAACTCCTGGCCTCCTCAACCCTCAACCGGCTAGTCGTACTCGACGACGACCCCACCGGAACTCAAACATGCCATGACATCTCCGTCCTCACCGTCTGGGACATCCCAACCCTAACCGAAGAGTTCAGACAGAACTCCCCAGGGTTCTTCATCCTGACCAACTCGCGCGCGCTCCCTCCCCTCGACGCAGAGAAACTGATCCGCGAGATCTGCGAGAACGTCGCGCAAGTCGCCAAGTCCGCAGGACAGACAGTGGACATCGTCCTGCGCGGCGACAGTACATTGCGGGGCCACTTCCCACTCGAAACGGACGTTGCGCAGTCCGTGTTCGGGGACGCGGACGGGTTGGTGCTAGCCCCGTTCTTCTTTCAGGGCGGACGCTTCACCATCGACGACGTGCATTATGTGGCGGAGGGGGAGAATCTAGTCCCGGCGGGGACGACACAGTTCGCGAAGGATGCCACTTTCGGATACAAGAGCTCGAACCTTAGGGACTATGTCCTTGAGAAAGCCGCCGGGAGATTTCAGCCGGAACAGCTGCATTCGATATCGATACACGATATCCGGGTGGGGGGCCCCGAAGCAGTCTTCGAGAAGCTGATGGGCATACCCCGGGGCGGGGTCATTATCATCAATGCCGCGGCGGAGTCTGACATGCACGTCTTCGTTGCCGGGTTGCTCTTGGGTATGCAATCCAGTCCCCTGGTCTATCCATTCCCTCGTTATTTTCCAGATACTAATGCGCAACAGCCGAAGCAAAAGGGAAACACTTCCTCTACCGCACTGGTGCAGCCTTCGTATCAACCCGCCTCGGCATCCGCTCCAAATCCCCCATAACAGCAAGCGAACTCCAGCTCCCCGTCCCCAGAGAAACAGGCGGGCTAATCATCGCCGGATCCTACGTACCCAAGACAACAGCCCAGCTGAACGTACTCACGTCCAAACGCGGAAAAACAGGCCAACTCGCCATCCTCGAAATGGACGTCGAAGAACTGATTGCATCCCCGGAAAGAGCCGCTGGTGCAATCCAGCGGACAGTCCAGGAGGCCGAGTCCCGTCTTCAATCTGGCCAGGACACCTTGGTCATGACGAGTCGCAAGTTGATCACGGGAGATAGTGAGCTATCATCCCTAGCCATTGGGACAAAGGTTGCGAGTGCCTTGGTCAGTGTGCTGAGGCAGATTCAAGTGCGTCCGAGGTATATTATTGCCAAGGTTAGTTGTTTTCTTTTCTCTGAAATGTTCTGAGAGTTGGAAGTTTGTATGGCGAGATGCTGATGGTTTCAGGGTGGGATCACATCCTCTGATGCCGCGACTAAAGGCCTGAATATGAAACGGGCTTTAATTGTTGGCCAGGCGGCGCCTGGGGTACCTTTGTGGCGATGCGATGAGTCCACTTCGAGACATCGCGGTGCTCCTCTTGTGGTTTTCCCTGGGAATGTTGGTGGCGAGTCGACGTTGTGTGATTTGGTGGAAGCTTGGAATTGAATGCGTGTTGTTGGGCGTATATACATGTTAGACGTAAGTAGATGAAGTGAGTGTATTCAGTACAATGCCTTGCCTGTAACAGACCGAATAGAGGAACCAACACAATTTTACAACTGCCTACGAGTAGATGGTGTTCTGGAGAGCAGTAGCTGTGACTGGTGGCCCGTAGGCCACGAAAAGACATTCTTTATTTCAACTAAACCTAGCTGGCTCTTACACCAGGCCTAACTGAACAGCAAGGTGATATGTACAGTCTCAAACCACCCGCAGTGTAGACCTACAACCTCCATGCGAGTGCAGTAACAGTAAATAGAAAATTGGGAGGGGGGGTTTATGAACCCAACCGCAAGTATGATCAACGGCATCCACTGTCACGAACGCCTGCAATGAGGTAGTCGCCCGGTGGGTGAGATAACACAGATATAATATCTGTAGGGTCAAGAAAGAAAAAAAGGTAGTGGAAAGAGAAAAGAAACCAACCTTGAAACTCCTGACGTCAGTTGCAACAGTGCGTCTCGGGGGACGAGTCACTAGATCAACTGTAGGTTTTCTTTTTTAGTGGATTTCAGCTGGGATTACACTAGGAGATGTGCCGCCCATTTACTACATATCATCCGATCCGGATGCGGTTCTTCATATGGCTGGCTGCAACTGTGACTGTTGATGTCGGGCATCTCACTCACGAACAGATCGGGGACCTGCCCCATCGTGGTTTTGGGCCTGATTACGGTTGATAGGCACTCACGCAGGTGTTGCTGTATTGGGCACTCCGTTGGATGGAATCTGACGTTTCGCAGTCGGAAGCGATGGATCCTGCAAAGAAAAATCAACGGCTGATATCAGTCATGTTCAGGTGTCAGGACTTTCGAGAGTCGCTAAGCGCGAGGGGTCGAATTCCGTAGAAGTAGCTTGCCGTCCATAGCCCACTTGAACTTTCTTGTTTGCACTTACGTCCAATGATTCGATGCCTCGTTTCTGACCGCCCGCTCCGGATTTCTTGATAATCTTCTTCTTAGGCCGCTGTGGACGCGTTTCTCCTGGTTGAAACACATCTTCGGGAAGGTCGAAGCTGATCCGAGTGTTAAAGTACAAACCCCTGAATTCCAGGTGAAACACTTACTTCCGCACGTGGATGATGGCTAGGTCGTTGATACCGGGCTGATATCCAGGCCAAGAGGTACAAGTCGACTTGAATATCTGGGCGTCGGTTGAGATATCCAACGACCGGGATTGACCTTCTCATGTCAGTGGGATCAGACAGGTAAATCGGCCAACATACCTGGCTCCAATGGCTTCAATTCCAGCCCGATATAATATGTTGTGGTGTAGATGGTTCGGCTCTCGCCATTGGCCTTATCCTCCACGGTCTCGGCGACGTCGCGTTTCTCGATCTGACTGTTAGCCGCGGCCTGATGAGCAACGTCGTTTATCTCATCGGTCGTCTCTGTTTTGTGGCCCTTATCTTGATACTGGGTAGAGCCATTCTTCACAGCTTCTGTCTCCTCGTCGCTGCTGACGATATGAACCCTTTCGAAACCTTTGGGGAACGGGTGAGCAACTGCGATAGTTGACTTCCTGTCCAAAGCCCCGACCAAATGTCTAATCTTTGATTCAACAAGTCCAGACCAGACCGCTTCCGCTTCTTTGGTTCTGCTCGACGCGGTTATACTGAGGTAATACTTATAGTCGCGAGTGAAGAATGAATGTCTTGCGAAAAGGTCATTCCAAGTGTTTTGTTTCAGGAAGATTTTGTCTACGATATCTCCGCCTCGTTGCAATTCGCGAAGGATAACAGTCTTGGTTGACATGGAGACGTTGTGAGTAGCGCACATTGAAGGGTACGCGGGAGTAATAATCGGCATCAGGTGAAAGCGGTCACCATGATAAATCTATGACAAGATCAGTGACTTTTCAAAACTGTCAATTGACCAGTTGCGGTTCCCACCTTTGGATTCCAGACTTTCATCTGGAGAGGGCCATCCTCAATTGGCTTCAACAACACAGGCTGAGGCCAAGCCCATTTGTTCATTATCCGGAAGAATTTGCCCACAATCACCGACCCGGTCGCCTGGGGGTATAACTGACACACTCTAGCTACCAGCATAGCCCAAGCAACACCACCGGGGAAGCCCACGATATTAGAGTAAATGGCTCTGCCTGTGAATAGGGTGGGTCGGTTAGCTGACGAGCACTGGAAGGGTCAAGTAAAAAGTTCCTTACGTTGCGCCCAGAGTTTGATAGCACGTAAAGCTAGACGGAAAGTCTTCTGCTGAGGCACAAGCTCCAGAATCTCGTCAGTTACACGAGTTCCATTAAGTGATCTGACCTCTTTTTCATCCAAGCCTCTGAGGTAGTCATTGTTCTTCAAATCGAGGTTGAGCGGAACTGAAGGGACGATCAGGCGGGCATAAATCAAGTCGATACTAATACCGGAAAATTCGAGTTTAATAATAGGTACGAAGGCATCTGGAACAGGGGTCATCTTCTCAACAGCCCCTTGTGGAGCCATTCTTTCAAGAACAGGGGGGAAATCTGAAAAGAAATCGTCGATGACAACATGCTTCGGACCAACAATCAAGGTATCGATATCAGACCCTGCCACGAAGCGCAATCAATATTCAGAAAATCAGAAAATTTATTAAGCACTACTGGCGACTCACCAGGTCCGTAAACACCGAGGCGATAACTTCCATAGGTAAAGATCTTTCCTCCTGCGGCCTCCACTGCAGCAGGGGATAGTCCCTTCTTTCGGCTGACGACTTTGATGAACTCGACCGTGACACGTTGGATAAGTTGGAGCGTATTTTTCCTGTGAAACCAAGACAATGAGCGCTCATGTCGAGCATCGTGAAAGGCTCCTGATTGCTTTACCTGTGCTCGGTCTCTGCAGGGCTTTCAAAGTTGTTTTGTAACTTTAGTTCAGAGATCAGATCGTCATTTGCAGCGAGCTCATCTGGAGTCGGCAAGACCGTAGAGATCGGAGGAGTAACTCCCCATTGGCGAACTGGTGGTGTGGCCATAATGACTGTCTATTTAGAGGTACAGGATCATGCGGCGCTTAAGTCTTAGAAAGCGGAGAGATGAAAGATGGAAAGCTAAGAAAGAACGTATGTCTTTTAGAGCTAGGAAAGACAAAAGAAACACGACAAAAAAGGGGATACAGGAATGTGACAAGAAAAGAAAAGTGAAGGGAAGGGCAGAACGGGGTGAGTGAACTGATGGGGAAAGGCCCAATAGTGAATGAGAGGCTGATCAAGCCAGCGATCGGAGTTGAAGAAAGAAGGTTTATCGGCGCCACGCCTGGTCAACTGACTCAGCAGTGACGCCTGTCTACAATCACGTGCTACTGTGGATTTCCCATACTTCTTCGTCAACCAATCATATGAATGGCATCATACCCCAATGTTCAAGGTTTCTAGGCGGATTACAGCCATTTCATCTCACCAACTTCTTCGCGGAAACTTGCTATAGCAAAGCAGACTCATGGCGTAACCGATTAGAATGACGCTCTCGGATGCTTCCCCAGAAATTCGGCCAGTTGCTTGTCAAGCCACTCAACATCATCCTTACTATCACCAGGGCCCCCCGCCCAGTCTACAAGTAGACATGTCAGCACTAATCCTTCTGCAGTATAATAGATTTCCACTTACGACCCCAGATGGAGGGGAAAACCCGAAGGGTACCGATTCCCGGTTTCATGCATGCAACCTCATACTCAGAATCTTCCGGGCTGCGGCAATTAGCTATCGGGTTGATCTTCGGAAGGGAGATGTGACTTACGGGAAGTAAAGGTCGGTTTTCCCCGGCAACACCAGCGTCTTCGCTTTGATTGAGGCCATGGCCTTCTCAAAGTCGCCATTGTATGGCTCTTGATTGCCCACGTTCCCTTGCTGCCATGTTTGCAGATGAGCCAGCAGGTTTTCAGGATCTAGACCCGCAATGTTAACCAGGAGAGTGAAGACAGAACAGAGCTTGTGTGGACTTACCTTTAGAAAGAGCCCACTTCTCCCAGAAACCTTGCATGAAGTCCTCCAGGCTCTTGTAGCCAAGTGCAGTCTCATACAGCCTTTCTCTGTAGAAAGCTTGGCTAAAGCCCCTGTACGAGGGAGAGAGACATTAGAAATGGTACAGCAGGATATGGCTTGTTGTCAGTCCTTACCAACCAGCATAAACCCTACCCAAAGCTTTCAAGCCGATTTGCCTCTCCTGGGCATTCCATATTCTTGACGCCTGTCCAGCCTCGAGAGAACGGGTATCTCTCAGGACAGCAGAAGGCGTGTGTTTTGCTGCTAACAGCGCACCTTTCACCCCCTCCAAGAACACCTGGTTATGCAAGGAGGTCCTTGCTGACCCGCAGAATGGCACCACCAAGTCCATGAAGTCTGGGTACTGCGTCGCCCATTGATAGCTTTGGGCTGCACCCATCGACCACCCGACCACAGCGTGCAGATGCGTTATGCCCAAATGCTGTGTGACGAGTGCATATTGGGCGCGCACGTTGTCGTAGAAGGAACATGCCGGGAATACATCGGAAACGGAATAGTTGGACGGGGAGGTTGATTGGCCGTTCCCAAAGAGCGCCGGGATAATGATGAAGTACGTCTTGGGATTGAGAGTTTTGTCTTCTCCGATCAACCAGACGTTATCCGAGATCGCTGGATGTAGGAGATATCCCGTTAGTATCGCTGCGGAACTTTCTGAATCCTGATACATACATCCGGAAAACCAGGTGGGGTAAATGATTGCTGGCGACTTCGGGTCACCAAATGTCTTGTATGCAATAGACGCATTGATGAGCTTTTCTCCACTCTGCAGCTCCCAATTTCCAAGCTTGAAGGTTTCAAAGTCTTGCTGGGTCATTTTGGATATTCGATCACAAGAGATGTAACGTGTGATAGTTTTGAACAGCTGTAGTGCACAACACCCTTTGGAATAAGACGGGATGGGAAGTTAATTACGTGAAGTAGGCTCGCTCTGATAGTAGCACTTTATTTATACTAGATAGTATAGGTATCCAATCCCGTTTCGCTTATCAATGATTGGAGAAGACCACCGAAACTGACAAATGAAAGTTTGAACACAACAGAGTTCGAATCCTTCCCACTTTGATAAGCACAGGCGACAACCTGCATAGTTACATCGTCCTCAACGTGATGAGATAGCGATATGGAGAAATGCGGAGAAATGGGTAACGCCACAACCAGCCGGGTTTCGATTCCGCGTGCAAGGATACAAATTAATAAATTATCAATTGACATATCCTCATTCCCAAATAACCTACTTCCTTCATGATGATTGACTCCATTCTCAAGAGATGAATGTCAATTACAGGCCATCAATAAGTATCTCCTACCCCAAGCGTTGGTGAGGGGTTGTTTTCGGGTGCTGACAAAACTCAAGCTAATATCGGCCCGAGAGTCGGTAGTGAGGTCTACATCCACGCACTCCGCAGAGTAGTTCTCACTGGTTTGGGGCGTCGAATTTCGAAAATTGCACTTTATGGTCCGTGGAAATTGCACCATGAGACCCGCAGTCTGCTCAACGGATGTAATGATGCGATAGCAGCTACTAGTTCAGGTCAATCCACCAGTGTGAATACCTCCCCATGCATCGCACTGTTGTGAGAAGCACCTTGCGCTTTTCGACTAGTCATCTCTATAAGCAATTGTAAGTTTTTTTCGCGCTTAGACCGGTGTTTCCCACTCGATGAGGAATCATAAACTTGGGCAGAGTCAAGGTCACACATGTCGCAATCAACAACGCTGATGAACATGTAGTGAAAGCGGAAATAGCCTGCACGGATTCAAGCCTCGGTACAATCGTTCATTCAGCATGACTTCGGCATTTTTTAAAGAGGGTGACGACTTTGAGAAGGTTCAAGCTGCTCGGCCAGATTTTACGCGTGATACAGAGGTCACTTTCTCAAAGCCCCCTAAGCCAGACTGGAAACAGGGCGAGGGTGCGAATGATGACGGCGAAAGTTTGAAGAAGAGTCATGTCGAGATCGACCCTCATGAGGAAGGGAGGCCAGTTTCATCTAACTACAAGATCTTAATCTCGGGGATGGTTCCTAGGCCAATAGCGCTCATCAGTACCAAATCGAAGGATGGAAAGTCTGCCAACTTGGCACCTTTCAGTTATTCACAGGTCATTAATCATGACCCTCCTCTTTTTGTCGTCGGCTTTGTTGGATCGCTTGAAAAGGCCAAAGACACGCTGAAGAACCTCGCCGACACAGAAGAATGCGTCATTAACATCATCTCCGAACATTTTGTGGAGGCAGCAAATGCGACCGCTGTCAACACTCCATATGGTGTTTCCGAATGGGAGATATCCGGATTGCACCAGGCACCTAGTTCGGTGGTACGGCCAGCCCGCGTGCAGGAATCAATCTTATCTATCGAAGGCAAACTCGTTGAAACCAAAGAATTTGAGAGCAGAACGACGCCCGGAAAGAAGACTGGAGTATTGGCGATCATTGAGGGTGTCCGATTCTGGGCGCGAGAGGATGCCATCAATGAGGATCGAAGCGTGATTGACCTTAAGGTCTTGAAGCCCATCAGTCGGCTAGGGGGGATACAGTACGGCAGAACTACCGATGCGATCGAGATACCTCGACCACAATTCTAAACATGACGGAACTGTTCCGACAGGGTTAGTTCCCGATTAGTACAAAAAGAACTATGAGCTATGTTAGACAGGGGTGCACACCGAGAATTGAGAAGTGGCAATTTGACATAGGCCTCTGAATCTTGTAGCACCTGTGAGTTCGTCATGTATGTAGGATGTAGGTGTTATGCAACCCCGACTTGAAAGCCATGTCACTTTACTAGATAAAAAATATGATAGTTGGAAAGACTCTCGTGAACTCTGATAAATTATCATATCGATTTTCAAGAAATACCAGGTTTAAACGTGCCAGAGACTTGTTTTCTTGGGTGGGTTCTGCTCAATTAGGTATCGGAGTTGATGCCGAAGGTCGGTTGACACTGCGATACGTGGGGACAAAAAAGAGGGTCTGATTTCCCCAAACAACCCACTGCCTCGGGGACTCCGGACGGGAAGAGAATGGAGACCCCAGAGTCCAGACTCCAGCTTTATAAGTGATTGCCCATCGAGCTCCTTAGACGGTTAAATTGACGCAAAACACCTGCAGGAACCGATCCATGATAATGGTATTTATTTAGGTAATAGAGTTCTTCTATATATTCATTCTATCTTCTTCTTCTTCTTCTTCTTCTTTTTTTAGCTTCTTTGCTTTTCACGATATAGCGCCAGGTTAGGATCGTCGCAAGATAGGATTCTTGACCCCAAAGCTCGACAAGTAAGGTAGTAAATACGCTGTAGACCGTACATTCGGGGCGCGTCACATGAGGAATCACTGGGTCCAATCCTTTTGGGCCCGGAGTAGTGCCGATAGTCGCGTGGATGTAAGATTTTTTTTAAGCTTCCTGTATACAGTTCATTTCCTGAGCCAGACACCACGGTGGTTTTAATAATAACCACAGGTGTAAGTAATATTGGTAATTTCGCCGTAAAGAAAACTAGGTCATGCGGTTGGAATTCCAGAAGCCCAACGGTCGAACAAAGAGGTCTGGTCTGGGCGGTCAGGCCAGAACTGGTGTTTTTTCTTTCGGACAATAGATCTCACCATTGGTGAGCCCAAGGTTGTCAGTCGGTCCCTTTCGCGATCCCTCATGGACGGATACCACATACTGTCCTAACCTTACTACTGCGACTTGTTTCTGGTTCAAACCGCCGCCGCCATCCAGTTGCCCCCTATCACCAATTACCGCTAAAGCGAAACAGAAAATAGTAATACATTACAATCACACGTTCCCCTCACTCGCCCACTTTATTTCCACGCCAGCCCGCGATCATACTATTGCCCGGGAACAACGTGGGATTCACCCATCGTCCATGGATTTTTCTCTTTACCTAGAGCTTCTTCCGAAAGATATTCCGTATCGCCGCTTTTCCCGTTTGTTATCTTCTTCTTCTGCGACTCCCCCGGACACCGTTACCGGGGACGTTCTATTGCTATAGAGCGAGGAAGAACCAGGTGCCCAATGTGTGGTGACCACGGATGATCATTTGCTCGCAATGAGCCACCCTTCTCCCCAGAAGAACGGCGGCAATAATGTTCCCCCTCCAAAACAGATTCGCTTCGTCTCAACCGATGGACAGCCCCAGACTAAACGACGTCGGGTCAACGCGGCGTAAGCCTACTCCTGTGAACCTTTGTCCATTGTTGCCTCCCTGCGATGCTGACTCAAGTTTCTCTCGAATAGATGTCGGACGTGTCGCAAGCGCAAGATACGATGCTCAGGTGAACAACCAGGTGGGTAAATAAGACCACTGTGACACACCATTCATTTTGCTAATGGAGTCTTCATCCAGTGTGCAAAACGTGCTCCGACTACAACCACGTTTGTTTAGGATACAACGAACCCACTGCTCATACTCGATCGCAATCTGATGTCGCATCACGCACCCCTACCATTCCTCCTTTACTGGGACCAAGCGATAGCTCCTATACAGCAGTGAAAGTTGAAAGTCGTTCCCCAGATTGTCCCCCGCAGGTTGCAATACCACCCAGTGATGATCGTCCAGACAAATCGTCCGGGGCACCGAAGCCGTCGGAGCTAAAAGATGTTTCATTGATGAGGGAAACGTCTTCCAAAATGCCGAAGGATTCTGAACAACACACTGTAGGGGAAAGTCCAGAAAGTAGTATGTTGCGCATAGACCTCAAAGGTGGCTTGTGTACTGACTATAATTTTCTTCGATAGGCCGTACGTCTTTGAGCTCTTCCGCTCGCACGCATGTTCCCTACTTCAGATACTTCGGGCCAACCGCTATTGTCCCTGGTTTCAAACAAATGGTTCGGGTACTCAAGCTGGTTACGTAAATGCACATATGCTGACTTCTATCCAGGTTGTCCAGGTCAGGGGCTCGCGCAAGAGTAATGCATCACTATCGTCAGGTCAGTAATACTTTATCTACAGGTTATTTGACCTGTTGGGTTATTATTTTTATTTGTTTGTTTGTTCCGTCCTTGGTGCTTTTTTGACCCATTCCCATTCCAACATGTATTAATTGATGCCTTGAATTACATAGAATCCTTGTCTCCTCTGCGAAGCCCAAAGTTCACGGACCTCGGTGTTGGTCGCCTAAACCATCTCGCTGATAGCCGCGACAACCGTGATGCCAATACTATCCCTTTCTATGATCGAGATGATACCTTGCCGGTCAGCAATCTGGTGACACACCTCTGTGATCTTTTCTTCGTACACTTGGGTTGCAATTTTCCTTTCCTTCAACGTGAAAGGTTTCTCCGTGACTTGAAGGACAAGAAAATTGACACCATGCTCGTGGATGCTGTTTGTACTTTATCTGCACGATTTTCTCCTCATCCTTTGCTGAGTCCTCCTCAAGCTCCGCCCATAGATGGCTCAGAACCAAAGCTGGATGTGAGGAAGTCAGACCGCGGCCAGCCATTTGCGCATAGAGCAATGAGCGCTCTCGTCGATGCTTTATCCTGCCCCACATCATCTGTTGTCCAGGCGTGTTTGTTGCTAGCCTACGAAGAGTTTGGCTCAAATCACGACAGTGGCCTGTGGATGTATCTAGGTATATCCATTCGCATGGCTCAGGACCTTGGGATGCAGAAACTGCAGGGTCTGAAATATAACTATGGCCAGAGTGGTGTGACCCCGAATGCAGTTGTAACAGGGCAGGCGGGAAAGTTGAGAGAAGAACAGTATGACGAACCCCAAAACTCTCAGGTCTCAATGAAGGATGCACAAGATAATGAAAACCAACGTGCTTGGGAGCGGGAGAGGGTTGACACCTTCTGGAGTATATTTTTTCTCGATCGAGTCATCTCATCCGGGACAGGACGGCCGGTGACTTTACGTGATGAGGACATAGAATTGTGCTTCCCTCTGCAATCGGAATCCTTGCTGCCTAACGGCTGGCCAGCGCCTTTCCCGCCACTTATACGCATAATACATCTGTATGGCAGGGTCACGGACCTCATCAATGGAATTCAAGATGTGAAACATGTCACCACGGACACCCTTAAGAGACTAGCTGGGATGGAAAGTGATCTTACGGGCATATACCAGCGTTTGTCGCCTAGGCTTCATTTTAATGCGGCCAATTTTCAAGCGTACGTAAAGGCAAAGGAAGGAACAAATTTTATCCTTCTCCATTTTTGGTTCCACACTTTGATAGTCCTCCTCCATCAACCAACGCTACTAAACTCGTTTGGGGGTTCTATACAGCACCTTTATCCAAACAGCAGGGAGTTATCGATGTCTTCGGCCAAAACAATTGCGGATATACTTTCATTTTCTGAACTTGTTGATGGTAAGAGCTTCATCGGCAATCCATTTACTAGTCAGCCGATGTACATCGCCGCGTGCGCGTTTCTGATGGAGAGCACTTATTACTCACCGTCGTCAGGGCCAGGCTCTCCTCCCTGCCAGCCTTTGTTGACAAATCAAACCAGTGGCTTTGTTATGCCCAATTTAGACCACCCGTCAGACGGACCAGAGCGGAAGCCGACTGCTAAACATATCCTCCTCTCCTCTGCTGCCAAGGAGAACTATCAGCGATGCTACAAAGCCTTGAAGGCTCTCGAGACTTACTGGGAGGGAACCAAGTATATACTCACGGTTCTCGACCAAAAGGCCAAGGGAATTGTCGATCCTCTATTATATACCGAGGAAGAGATGGAGGGTACCGCTGAGATCGCATCGGCTCAACCATTTGCACCTAGTTGGCGTCAGCCAAGTGCGCCGCTAGGTGCCGTTGGTGACTCCGATGAGTCGGTCATAGGTTTGGAAGTACGGTCACCAAGAATTGATCCTAGCCAAGGTAGGCATTTGAGTCTCGGTTCTTGCTAGTAGCCCCCTTCTCAGTTGAACCTTGGATATCGACGGTATTTGGGCTGACTTTAATTTCTTTAAGCCATTGGATGGGCTCTTACAGGAGCAATCAACTCTTCGCAGCCAAATCTTAGCGTTCTATATCAAATGCCTGCTGCGCAAACGGACTCCGTTCCTAATAAGCCAGCTTATTCGTCTCAGTATAGCCATAGCTACCCCAGTTTACCGATGCAAACTAGTACTGGCCCTAGCTCGAGCTCTTATACTCAAACGCTCGAGTCTTCCAGGACTACGGCCGCTGCGCCGAGCTCGCCGATTACAGCTGGTCCTGGAAAATATTCCCCACTTGCCCCGTCTGGCCGCGTTTCGACATCGGATGCCAGCCTTCTGTTGGGTCTGAACACATCTTTCTCGACGTCTGCCTCCCGACCTCCTCATTCTCACCCCGCCTACAATCAAAACCTGACCGCTACTTCATCCCGGATTGGTGCACCAACCTCCGCCTATAACTACAACACCGCCTCTACTGGAAACGACCAGCCAACGGGTAGCAGTCATATGAATTCCAGACCCTCACAGATACACCCTAGCGCGGGTTCCCACGCTAGTGATATACTCATCGAGAGCCAAGATATTGATATGGCTTCCCTTCAACAAGACCAATTTCCATTCACCTTTAGTGGAGAAATACTCCCTTGGCTAGAGTACCTCCCACAAGATGTCCTCAACTACTTCGGGGACCATCCGAACTACCCGTCTTTGATGAACCCCCATGACGGTACTTCACGGCCGCCGCATTGAAACCCGTGGTCCTTTTGCTACTGTTACCACAGCGTCTACGTGTCATGTCCAGCGATTATTCGTGCTTTATCAGGATTGGGAAGAGGTTTCCGGCGTCTAGAGGTTTTGGATATAATTCGTTATATAAATTAGAGCGAGCGCAGGCTTTTCTTGTTTTGTTCTTCCATCCTTCCCTGTTCCAATATTGCATACAGCAAACGTTTGGCTGGGAGGGAAGCCAGCACGGTTATCTTACGTGTCCCTATACGTGTATGTTCAGTTATGTCGTGTCCAGATATGCTCCGTGCATCTCTTGTATGGGGAAGAAGCAGAGGTCTTGTGTCAGTAGTATACATATACCATTACTATACTGTTACTTTATAATTAAATGCGAGGATTTAATGATATATTGCATTGTATCTCTGTGACCAAGTTTGGGTGAGGTGAAGATAAGATTGATTCTCGGTGCTTGATCGAATTAAATCAGCGGTTGCCCTGCACGACAAAGGCGGTGAACCCCAACATCAACAGACTGAGTGTATAGCCATCAACAACCAGGATTCATGATCATCCCAGAGATCTGTTCTTTCTTCCACATATCATACATATCATAATCTTTACGACCTTATATCGGTGGATACTAGTGCACGGATTCTTTTTTCAGATATCTCGTAATCCGCAACCTAAGATCGCACTACGATCAGAGATCCACTGCCCTACATTCCTGTGGAGCCATTTGTTGTCTACCGCATTCCTGGACCAAGAAAAGCAACTCTATATTTTTCTTTTTCTTCTTCTTTGAGATCCAAGGTTCAATGGAGGAGTTGGACCACAATGCTCAATTAACTGGGTCCACAGCCTCGCCACGGGAGGAATCAGACCTCTGTTTGTATGTTCCTACCGATGAACCGCCATCGACGATAGAGACAGCCCATCTAGTTCACCGAATTCCGGACCACAATGAGGCCAGCTCCACACATGGAGATACGCATATACTAGCTCAAGACTGCGGTTACAATTCCTCGGCATCGTCAACGGAACGATCTTCTAGCGACTATCTGGGCGGGGATGTAGATTATGAAGAGCTACGGGACGCGAATTCAAGAGCATCGAGCCGTTCCTCGATTTCCTCCATTCCTGCTTCGGTGCTTACCAATCCCACCAGTGGGGTGAAATCAGCCGTCGTGCACAGGTCGCAGCAAGATATGCTTTCACATTCGTGGGGCGATCATAACGATAACGAGCCTGAGGAAATGGAAGAACAGCTGAGATTGACATCTATGGTTCGGAAGCACCACAGTGTCTTCCGAAAGTCCAGTTCGGTCAGAGCGATGCAAATGCACACCGAGGATGAGGGTGACGGCGAGTACTTGACACCACCGAAACGCAGGGGAGGGCATCGCATGTCAGATGGCTCATCACAGCTAAAGCGATCTTCATACTACTCGCCAACCGGACTCGTGGCGAAGCAAAAATCCCAAAAAGATTATCCCCTCGTACTACTACATTGTAACTTGCTCCCACCGTCGCTTCCTATCCCGGGATTAGTGGACTATCCGGACCAAAAAATCTTGAGGGAAGTATTGCCGACGGAGTATTGGAAGCGGTGGAAATTACTGGAGGAAAAGATTGGATCTGTGGTGCTACGGGAACGGGGTGTTCTTATTTCACATCCTGAGGATATGTACGATCTTCTTGAGGAGAGGCTGTTGGAGAGTTTGGAGTTGCAACGCCCAAGGTTTGACCATGGGCACTTTTTGGGTCATGAAGAGACTGATACAGACAGAGATAGCCAGTCTATGGCGGAGGAGAGCGCAACAGACGATGAACAAGGTGAGCAATGCCCAGACTGTGGAGGGCGCGTCGTCCGACATGGTGAGGCCGGCCGAAAGTGGGAAATCAGGGTGTTCGCAGCCAACGGGCTGATGAGAGGTGGAGCATGGGCTGCAGCTTGGAGAGAAATGGAAAAAGTAGATGTGGAAGTTGGTCTCTGGCTACCATCCGAAGTGAGAAGAGATTTAGAGAAGAGATTGCTCGAAGGCGACTTATCTCATCCGGGTAACCAACTTCAAGTGTCACAGTTACAGGAGCCTGCCAATGACAGGCCCACAAACATCCACACTGATCCAGCCCATTCACAGACACCAGTTCTTGAAGATGGCAAGCCCAAGTTTCTCAATGCTACAAGAGTTGGGAGATCCAGCTTGTCACCGGCTCCAGAAAAGATTGTGCCTCAAGAGCAGCAGCAATCTGGTAGGCCATCCTACCCTCGAAGTCCAGCAGCAGAGATCGAACTTCAAACCCTTTTAGTGAACTACATTCGTGTGTTAGCCAGTGATCGCCGCAACGTTACAATTGCGCTTCTCACTGTCTTGGTGGTTTTCTTTGCTCTCAACACCAGACCCACAGCAACTCCAGCACATCTACAACCGTTTCCTCCGGACATGTTGGAGATGGTTCCCCGGTCAACTATATCTCCTCTACAACACTCATCAGTGATCTGGGAGAATCCTACAGGGAGCATAAAAGAAGGTGTGGCGACTTCGGAAGTACGAGCAGCAGCTGTTTCATTTGAGCAGCAATATCTCCCTCCCGCTCCTACTCAACCAATGAGCCCTGACAGTACTAATCTCCAATACAGTGACGCTTCCGAGGTGGGTCTTGCCAAGCCAGAACAATCATCGTCTGAGGCTGAGGCCCACTCTGAAGGAACCACAGCTGTAACCTCCCGGAGCGTTGTTGAAAAGCATTCTTCCTCGACGTGGCCACTGATCCCAGCCGTTCACCCAGTCCTACCTGAGGCACAGACAGATCACAGTGAAATGACCGAAAAAGCGGACCCTATCCCAGAAGTCCTCAAGAACAGTGGTGGAGAATCGTCGGCTATTTGATGATATGATTTACAGGTTTCCAATTCCTGATTCACGACCGATATGATATGATTGATTGCGATCTCTTACGTTCTGAGCTTCTACTTTCTATTCTATTGATGTTTTTGGCCCAGTGAAATGACCATATTTCAGCGCAAGATATAACATTTTTACCTATTAAGAGCATGGGTTGGTGTTGGTCTTTCTTTTCAATTAACTTGTTTTGTGTTATTTATTTATTTATTTTTTTTCAGATTTTTGCTTTTTTTTCCCCTTCCTTTGTTTTGGTTTCCCTTTTCTTGGTGGTTCTCCTTTCGGATGCCTGTGGAGTCAATTAGCTGCAAGGCGTCCTACGATCTATTGAATTTTTGAACATTGGTTTCTCTAGTTTTGAAAGTGCTTTGCTCAATTATCTATCCTACCTATCCACTATATAATCCACGCTTCTCGCGTTTCAGACTTTTCTCAAGTTAATGATACTGGATAGATCACCCAAAACTGTCAAGTATGTTGCATCCGCCTGCCAATTTTTCTACGGACATTTTCACCAATGCAAGCTTTTATTGCAGCTGCCGTTCGATATTGAAATCGATTTGTGATAGCTCACTTCGGTCCCTTGACCGCTTCAGTGTCCATATATCGTCGATTACTTTTTTGTTCTATCTTGGTCTCTTCATGCAATGCACTGCTCCCCTCCGGCCAGGCGCAGGGAGTGCCTGCATCCTTCTTATTTGCTTTGCTAATTAGAGTAAACATACCTTGGCAGGATTACGCCAGGTACGATTAATATTGATCACTGCCGCGTAAATTTTCTGGATGCATATGACTAGTCTTCTATCAGCTCTATACTCCACAGTACCAGTCCTATTTCGAACTCACCGCTAGACATGGTTCTACCGTTCTCATCATAATCCCTTACATTTCCAGTCCCCGTTGCCACAGCTCTTCGTTGACCTTTGCTTCTTTCAACGCTGGGGACCCAGTTGGATACATTTAAGAAAGCATGGAGAACAGAAGAGAAAGAAAGTGCTCTAAAGGCCACTTGTGGGCTCTGCAATCCTTTCTACGCACTGAATTTTTCTTTTTACCTATTTCTTTTAGTTATGCCTATGCTGCACTAACAGTTGTAGTACGATTCGGTCATGGCTCCTTCTCATAGTAGGCTGGGTCTGTTGGCTTTATTATGCCTTGTTCAATGGATATCATGTAAGGATGTTCAATTTAAACTCAACCTCACATGGGAAAATTACGAAGTGGCTGGGGCCACGCGAAAGATGATTCTCAGCAATGGACAATTTCCCAGTCCGACTTTACGATTGAAACAGGGCGACAAAGTTGAGTTTCTAGTCAATAACTCAATGCCTTTCGCGGCGACCGTTCATTTCCATGGTAATAACCTCTTGTACCCGCTAAAAAGCTCTAGTTAACTTCTGTGATCAGGTATTGAGCAACGAGGTACGCCGTGGTCCGATGGTGTACCAGGACTATCACAAAGACCGATAGCCGCCGGCGATCAATTCCTCTATACATGGACAGCAACGCATTATGGGACTTACATATACCATGCCCACACCAGAGGCCAAATCGAGGATGGACTTTATGGGGCCATCTACATTCAACCAGATGAATCAGTGGAGAAGCCATTTCATTTGATCACCGATGACGCAAAAGAGCTACGGGCCATCGGTAGGGCGGAAATGGAGACGGAGCCTATCATCCTCTCCGATTGGCGTCACTTAACATCTGAAGAAATCTGGCAGGCCCAAGTAGCCTCTGGGTTTGAGAACTTCTGTGCCAATGCGGTTTTGATTAATGGTAAAGGGTCTGTACTGTGTCTGCCTCAAGACCGCATCAACGCACTCACCACACCTGCTCAGAGGGGAGCGCTGAGGAATAATACGCTTACCGATATGGGGTAAGCCACATCATCAATCTGTTTCTATACTCTTTCTAGAATATCCAACTATATACTAATCTATCCCAGGTGTTTGCCTCTTGGGGACCTTCAGAAGATTAACCTAACACCACAGGGTTTCCTTCGCGGATGTACACCCAGCCAAGGCCCGACCGAAATATTCGAGGTAGAATCAGCTTCGCAGTACAGAAGCTGGGATTTAATCAATATAGCTGGCAGTCTAGAGCTAGCATTCTCGATTGACCAGCATCCTTTGTATGTCTATGCGGTCGATGGGCGTTATATCGAGCCTATTCGAGTCGACGCGATTACTATCCCTATTGGTAGCAGGTATTCTGTTCTGGTTAAATTAGACCAACCTGCTGGTGAATATACAGTTCGTTCTGCCAATACCGGAGCAAACCAGATCATAAATGGCACAGGCATCATGAGATATGGAGCTTCTACTTCCAACCAGAAGATATCTCAGCCATGGATTACTGAAGTTGGCACCAACGCCACCGCAGATACGGTGTTCTTGGATGAGACGAGGGTCGTGCCCTTCCCGGTGGAAGTTCCTTCTTTGCACGTGGACCGGACATACATATTAAATGTCGATCATATCGGGGACTCGTACATCTGGACATTGGGTAATCATAGTTACCCACAATCAAATGAAGAAGCGACCCCTTTGCTTTTCAACCGCAGCTCCATCCCCACAAAGTACACCATCACCACATTGAACAACACTTGGGTGGATCTCATCGTCAATGTGACGACTGGAGGCCAGCCTCCTCATCCAATCCACAAGCATTCGAATAAGTACTTCGTGATTGGATCAGGATTCGGTGCTTTTCGCTATCACTCAGTTGCCGAGGCTGTGAAAGACATCCCTGAAAGCTTTAATCTCCGCAACCCACAGATACGCGATACATTTTCCAGTCCACCTGCCGGCGCAGGCCCCTCGTGGCTTGCGATCCGATATCATGTGGTCAATCCGGGTCCTTTTCTGCTGCATTGCCACATTCAACCACATTTGAGTGGCGGCATGGCTTTGGCCATTATGGACGGCGTTGACACTTGGCCTCGTGTGCCGGAAGGGTATGAGCTGCCAGCTATAAGTAACTAAATGATCGATGTTTCATATAGATATATATTAATATACTTAACGGAATAGATAAAGACTATACAATAATTCTTCAGGGCTACAACATAAGACCTAGGTTAATTAATAGCCATACAATATTAGAGTATTGTATTACATCCCAATATTAGTTATTTGTCTGCAGTATCGAATACCTTCGTTGGATGGAAAGAGCTTTTTGATCCATGGTACAAGAAAAGAATTGTCAAATTGTGTCTGAACGTCAGAGATAGCAACAATGACTGCATGGAATAAAGCCAGCTATATACACCTTTGCCTGAGGCCAACCGTATCCTACCCCCAGGCATCCCATTCGAAAGGCGTGAGTGAGGAGGACGCGTCCTTTTTCTTGGGACGAGTCTCATGGAACCTCTCTCTATTGGTCTCCAATGGTAAGTGGATTTTCGCGATTGTTTGCAAGTTCTGGTTGTACTCCGCTTCTTATTGGTTCAGTTGGCGTGAAGTCATGTTGATGTGAGACGTGGCTTACGGTCAACCGATCTGGTCCCTTCCTGGCGGATGGATGATCACAGCCCGGTCTTTCAGTCCCAGTCCTATCAGTTTCTAGGCAGTGGCGATGCCGATCATAGCCTTTGTGATGCTTTATAGAATATCCTCAATCAATCAGGTCACAACAATACTACGTACAAGTAGTAGCTAGAACCACCTATGATTTTCGAACATGATAGTCCGCAGATCTATACAGCAACAAGGACCAGGGCTACGTCAATCATGTGAACCTGCATAAAGTTACATAAGTGAAATGTTTAGTCAGGCTCCACCCCATTCCAAATCGGTCTTAGCTCCGACACACCCCTCCAAGAAACCCAACCAAACACTTCTTCATACCTCATTCAACAAACCCCCAATAATAAAGAAAACCAGGAGAGAAAATATTCCAAAAATGGGTCCCAAGAAGGGCGGCGATAACTCCAAGAAGGCAGCCGGAAACGCCCGCGTACGTGAAAGCCCCCCTTCCCTATCCCGATCTGATAATATGTTCGGATCTGATAAATCTGAGCTTGCTTTTTGTCTTTGCCCCGCCCCCGCCACATGGCTGTATGGCACGCGACCAACAAGATATATATGGATTGTATTGCTGATGAGTATGGATTTGAAATAGAAAGCGGAAGCGGCTGCCGCTAAAAAGGCCGTTGAGGATCAGAAGCGTGCAGCTGAGGAGGATAAGCAGTGGGCGAAGGGCGCTAAGGGTAATAATGCTAAGAAGTGAGTGTTGACCTTTTGTCTGTCTCTTATTTAAGCAGGAAGGGGGAAAGACTTCCAATGTGGGGTATGGTTTCTCCGTTCGTGCAATTAGTATGCTAATCAAATTCCCAAATCCAGAGAAGCCGAGGAAGCCAAGAAAGCAGAAGCAGCCCGTAAGAAGGCCGAACGCGACGCTCAACTCGCCGCCGAAGAAGCCTCCCAACCCTCTAAGCCTAAGGGCAAATCGAACCAACCGGTCAAGAAGTCCCGCGGATTGGACCTCTCCCAGCTTGACGACCAGCCTGCGTCTCGTAAGGGAACGGCTCTCAATGCCTCGGGTATCGATAACGCGTTGGACGCCCTGTCACTGACGGGCAAGGATTCAGCGAAGATCGATCGCCACCCGGAGAGACGGTACAAGGCTGCTTATGCGGCGTATGAGGCGCGCAGGATGCCCGAGGTGGAGCAGGAGAATCCTGGTCTGCGGAGGCAGCAGCGCATGGACCTCATTAAGAAGGAATTCGACAAGAGTGAGGAGAATCCATTCAACCAGGTGCACGTCGCTTTTGATGCATCGAAGGATGAGATTGCCGCTATTCGCGATGCGGAGAGGAAGAAGACGGAGGCCAGATTGACGAAATAAAGCCGCTTTCTTATTTCGTTTCAATTGGGGTTTGGCATGTTCCCTTAAGGAGGAAGTGCTCCTCTGGGCGCTATTTTTCACACAGGACGCTTGAAATGGGTCCTGTTGTCTTGATATACCCGGCTTTGGCTTTTTGGTTTCACGGTGAGTTCACGACGGTGGACATAGATGGGAGAATGCCATGTCTAAATTACGTCACCGTGGTAGGTGGTTCATATTCTTATGGTGATGATTGATGTCGTATAGTATAGATTTGTCTAACAATAAAAAAAACAAAAGTATATTCTATACCCCAAGTGACAACAGTACTTAATAGCCAGAATCGTAGTCATAAAGTATTCAATATCCGACAGGCCAATCAATCGCTGTCAGGAAATGGTATCATGCAATCTAATATCCAATACAGAAGGAAGAAATAAACCAAGACGGGTCATCCAAAATCGGATGGGCGTCTATCCCATGACTGCCCGGACATCCCACACATACAGACTTTCGTCCCATCCCACACTGGCACACCATCCCTCACTTCCGAACATACACCAATCGACTCCGGTTACGAACTCTGTATGACGCGCCATTCGACCCATCTCCACTCCCATCGTTGGACTAGGACCCGCCCGCATCGAGTCGACATCCCCAACAACTCCAGGGGGAGACTGGTCGTTCCATGCACGACAGGTCATGTCGTAGCTTCCACTAAGGAGAACATTGGATAAGTGCGGCGACCAGGAGACCTTGCGGATAGCGTAGTCATGTCCGACCATCACGGTTTGTGGGCCCTGCTGCGGGGCACGAATGTCGAAGGTGCGGATCGTCCGATCCACGCCCGCGGTGGCCAGGATAGACGGTCGATATTTATTCCAGTCATGCGTCAGAGCTTCGGAAGGAGGACAGGCAGCTGGCGGAACGCCTGGTTTACCAGGAATCGGAGATACCGGGGTCGCATGGATGGGGATCTGGAGAGTGAGGTGGTTGGAGGCGGAAGCCGGAGTGCGAAGGTCAAACAGACGGATGTAAGAGTCGGACGTAACACAGGAAAGGATATCAGGAGAATGTGGTGAGAAGGATGCGGAGTAAGTGCAGCTGTGTGTAGGAAGAGTGACGAGAGAATGCGGACGATCGGGGGTCCAAACGCGCACAGTACCGTCCCAGCTGCTGGAGCAGAAGCGGTCTTTCGCGACGAGATTCCAGTGCACACTGAAAACTTCACGGTTGTGTTCCTTCCAATTCTGGACGGGGAAGTCGCTCAGATTGCAATCGAACAACTTAATACTACCGTCACCGGAGGCTGTAAGAACTTGGTTTTCGTGAATCTCAGACCATGCAAGATCGTAGAGCGAGTCTTGGGTGGTAAACCTGGAATCGTCTGGTTAGAATGGATTGACTTGGTCATCTTCAATGGAAACCTGTACCATTTCACGGGTGCAATTCCGTTTGGAGTCAACTCCAAAACGTACATCCGCCCATTTCCCACGAGTCCAAAGTTGGCCGACGCGGCGACGGCAGCCGGTTATCGAAGAACGGGGAGTACTTAACCGCACAGCCGTTATAGCCCTCCGTGCGAAAATGCAGCATGGTTCTGGAGGATGGTCCGGGGCGAAACCACGCTGTTAATGTCACAAGGAGGTAAGTAAGTCGAAAAGGAGACGGTGGTGGTCGTGGATTAGCGACTGCGGTAAAAGATCATGTCGCAAACTGAATGGCGACTGGAATCAAATGAACGTGTTGCGGGGAGATTCTCACCTCCTTGAGCCGAGGTCCATTTGCCGTGATTGGTGGAGTCCCCGTGGTTAACGGCAACGTCATAAGAATTATGTTGTATTGATTGTATATCCACTTTTAACAACTATATACATTCTCCCCTCAACAACAATCTGCCGAAGTACGTTCGATTCTTGCATCACCATGTTATATCTATTACAACCCTCTTAAAGCCGACATCCCTAGCATTGTTGACCGACCTAAAGCCGATTTCCTCTTCACAATGCAGATGATCATGTAGGATGGACGCATACCGCAGTTACAACTTACCCCAAGAGCCACACATATATCAAAAATACTAAAGATAAAGGATCATTCTGGCTATGAACAGCTGACTGACTGCACGCCGGCCTAGTATCGCGACTTGAGACCATCACATAAGCCCTGATACAATGCTACTCTCGTTTAGCATAAAGATGCAGCTTTCTAACGAGAGAAAATCATGGGAATAACTTGTCACGCTCTAAAAGCCACTCGTCATGATGCTCCTGCTACTAACTCGTGTATGTGTTGCCAAGTGATGCCGGATTTCCGAGATATCGGTGCAATGCTGCTTTGCCGATGCGGATATCCGGGTTCCTGAAGTTAAGCCGATTCTCTCGGTTTACCTTTCTTTTATTTTACCTGTGATTATATCTCCAGTATCTAAGATACCCCAGATCAATCATGTCAAGCCGTGCAACGCATCATCTCCGGGGCTGCTACTCTCGCGCCCTTCGAACTACATTAGCTTTACACGCGTCCAACATATTGTCTAGTCGGTGCACGCGTCCATCAACTGTCAGACCAATTGTATTTAGTCAGAAACATGATTGGCAATTTCGATGCTACGCCAGTTCAGCGCATCCACCCTTTATGCGGCTAAAACCAAGATCATCTGCGTTCCCTCCATGGCCGAATCCATCTCCGAGGGTGTCCTGTCGACCTTCAACAGACAAGTCGGTGACTACGTTGAACAAGACGAAGAAATCGCCTCGATCGAAACTGACAAGATAGATGTCGCCGTAAATGCCACACATAGCGGAACGATCACAAAGCTACTTGTCAGCGAGGGTCACATCGTCACGGTGGGACAAGCTGTTATTGAGATTAGCCTCGAAAAGCGCGATACAATGTCACAATCACCACCACCGCAAGCGGAGCGAACTTATAAACCTCCTCAGGAAGCCACTCAAAAACAACAAACGCCTATTAGGGAAACAAGGCCCTCCCAAGAGTCAACGAAAGAAACGACCTCGACACCCACTCCTCTGCCCGTACCACACAGCCAAGGTCCGGTATCAGCCTTCCAAGGCAGTCGATCAGAGAGAAAAGTAAGCTCATTCATCCATTCTATGTACCCATCAGGTAGCTGATTATCGAACCACCAGGTCAAAATGTCTCGTATGCGCCTGCGCACGGCAGAGCGTCTGAAAGAATCGCAGAACACAGCTGCGTTCCTGACGACGTTCAACGAAGTAGACATGAGCAAAATTATGGAGTTCCGTTCGCAGAATAAGGATGGCGTGCTCCAGAAACACGGTGTCAAGCTGGGTTTCATGGGACCGGTGGCGCGGGCCTCCGCGCTGGCTCTTCGGGAGACTCCGGCTATCAATGCGTCCATTGAGAATGACGACAAGATTGTCTTCCGCGACTACATCGACCTTAGCGTCGCCGTTGCGACGCCCAAAGGCTTGGTGACACCAGTACTACGTAACATGGAAAGCCGGAGCATCGTGGAAATCGAACAGGGTATCGCGGAACTAGGTAAAAAGGTGAATCGCTCAGAGTTGCTACTAGCACTTGTATATATAATCAGAATCTGTTCACTGACATCTACCGTTCTTAAGGCTCGCGATGGCAAATTGACTATGGATGATCTGACCGGTGGGTCCTTTACGATCAGCAATAGTGGAATCTGGGGTTCGTTGTTCGGCACTCCCATTATCAATATCCCGCAGACGGCTGTGCTTGGGATTTACGGGATCCAGCAGAGACCTGTAGCTATTGATGGGCAGGTAGAGATTCGACCGGTAAGTCCTTGCTCTCTGTTCTGCGTAAGTTGGTAGATTATTCTGACTCTACCAGATGATGTATACTGCGTTGACCTACGATCATCGGCTAGTCGACGGCCGTGAAGCAGTAACGTTCTTGACGCTGGTCAAGAAGTATCTTGAGGACCCGGCTAGTATGCTTATCGCGTGAATTGCATTATTGTAAGTAGTATATTTATCTTTTAAGATCACCGCATCGATGTTAGTCGATATTCCACTTTAGAGATGTGGAGATATCCATAGTAGAAGAAATAGAAAGAGGCCCATGGGGGACACAGAAAATCTCTTTCTCTAAACCCAGGAAACTGAGACAACACATCGGCTAAAAGTCCGGCAATTCCTCAAGCCACCGAAAGGCTCCCGGCGAGATGCCATTACACCGATTCGCACTCACACTACTGTGCAAATAACATATACAAAGCATCCTATTAACCAGCATGCGGGGAACAGAGATCATCGGCTTCTAGATCATTTATAGAGTCGCAACCTCCCCACCCCTTTGGTGTATATATACCCATGCCTATTATATGTACATATAATCCCTAAGCCGAACCCTAATCCGGCTGGTCTCCCTTCTCAATTTCATGCAAACAATATAAGCAAAGAATAATAACCGCAATGTTAGTATCGCGGGCACGATACTTCGCTCGTCAGAGCAGAGTCGGCTCTACATATCACACACACCGCTGTCTTTTCTCACCCCCACAACAACACTATGCCGTTCCGGCTACTGCACACGCCACCAAGGAAGAAATAGTAAGTATCGTTCGACATGGAAATTCTGGCAAAAAAAGGTTAACTTTCCCTCTCTAGATCCACAATGATGACTTTCTGCAAGGAAGCGCAGCAACCTACATCGACATGATGTATTCGTCGTGGAAGAATGACGCATCCTCTGTACATCTTTCATGGCAGGCGTATTTTCACAATGTCGAGAATGGCCATATACCCATGGACCAGGCATTTATGCCGCCTCCAGGTCTGGTGACAGGATCGTTGAGGACATCAATTGCAGCTAGTTCGCGAGAGGATAGCTCCACTGTCAAACAGTTGAAGGCGATTCAGCTGATCCAGGCGTATCAGAGATGGGGACACGAGTATGCAGCTACTGATCCGCTAGGAATGGTGAACGAAGGAAAGGTTCGTCGGAAAGAGCTGCAATTGAGTCACTATGGGCTCAGTGAGCAGGATCTCGATGTCGTGCTCACCGTTGGGACAGGCTCTGTGCAGGATTTCACATCCGATGAGCCCAAAACTCTGCGGGAGGTTATCGCTGCCTGCGAGGAGACTTATTGCAGCACGACGGGGATTGAATACATGCATATCTCAAATCAGGAGCAAGTGGACTGGATCCGAGCTCGTATTGAGGGCGCACAGCGCTATCAGTTCACTGACGAGGAGAAACGACGTATGCTACATGGTCTCGTCCGCGCTACTAGTTGGGAAAAGTTCATTGCGACAAAGTTTCCGAATGAGAAGCGGTTCGGGTTAGACGGTGTCGAGAGCTATATTCCTGCGCTGGAGGCTGCGATTGATAGGTCAGCTGAGAATGGTGTTGATAAGATTGAAATGGGAGTTGCGCATCGAGGCCGCATGAATATGCTGTACAATATTGTCGGGAAGGATGGGGCATCCATGTTCCTTGATTTCGATCCCAAGCGGACCTCTTATTGGGATATTCCGGGGGATGTTAAATATCATTACGGTAGTAGTGGTGAGCGCGTGACACCGTCCGGTAAGAAAGTGTACATGAATGTGCTGCCTCAACCATCGCATTTGGATTCAGTGAGCCCGGTTGCTATGGGCAAGACGCGCGGGATCCAGGATCGACTTGCGGATGGCCAAAAGTCCGTAATGATGCTAAATGTGCACACGGATGCGTCCTTTGCCGCTCAGGGCACTATATATGAGACTTTGGGGCTGTCTGGCTTGCCCGGGTATAGCACTGGCGGTACGCTGCGCGTGATTGTTAACAACCAAGTCGGCTTCACCACAGATATGTGGCAGGCAAGGTCGACGCCTTATTGCACAGATGTGGCTAAGATGCTGGATGCACCAGTTATCCATGTTAACGGAGACGATGTCGAAGCGGTTTGCTCGGCGGCGATTATTGCAGCTGATTTCCGCACACGATTCAAGAAAGACTGCGTGGTCGATATCATTTGCTACCGGCGCAACGGACACAATGAGATGGATCAAGCTTCTTTCACTCAGCCTACCATGTACGAGCGGATTGCTGATAAGGTCCATATTCTAGACCAGTACGAGGCAGGGCTGATTGAGCAAGGCATCATAACACGGGAGCAGGTGGAGGCCATAAAGAATGATGCATGGGACAAGCTTACGCAGTGTCTGGAAAAGAGTGGCGATCATAAACCTGATGCCCGCGAGTGGCTAATCGACTCTTGGAAAAGTGTGAAATCACCCGTGGAGTTAGAAAGAGAGACACTACCACCAAAGGTGACAGCCATTGACCACCAGGCTATGGAGACTGTATCCCAGAAACTGGGAGCTGCGGTCCCCGAAGGTTTCGTACTACACAAGAATCTAGAGCGTATCCTCGCTCGTCGCAAGCAGACAGTCGACTCTGGAAAGGATATTGACTGGGCAACAGCTGAGGCTCTCGCTTTCGGCACACTATTGCGAGAGGGCACGACTGTCCGTGTTTCCGGGCAGGATGTAGAACGAGGCACCTTCTCTCAGCGACATTCAATACTCCACGATCAACAGTCCAACAACACTTACATTCCACTAAGCACCCTCGGTGAAGGTCAAGGTCTCTTCAGCATTACCAATTCATCGCTGACCGAGAATGCCGCGATGGGCTTCGAGTACGGCTATTCGCTAGCTGACCCAAATGCACTAGTGATGTGGGAAGCGCAATTCGGAGACTTTGCCAACAATGCTCAGTGCATTATCGACAATTATATTGCATCATCTGAAGACAAATGGCTCCAAAGGTCGGGTGTGGTCCTTTCCTTGCCGCACGGATACGACGGCCAGGGGCCGGAGCATACATCAGCTCGATTGGAGAGGTTCCTGCAATTAGGAAATGAAGACTCAAGGTCTTTCCCATCATCTGGGCAGCTGAAGCGGCAGGATCAGGATTGCAATATACAAGTAGTATGCATGACCACCCCGGCCAATTACTTCCATGTCCTGCGCCGGCAAATCCATCGCGAGTTTAGAAAGCGTATTTATCCCTCTCCCTTTCCGATAGTGTCGTAACACTAATTAAATTATTAACTTAGCACTTATCATCCTCTTCTCCAAATCTCTGCTCCGCCATCCCCTTGCTCGCTCCGATATTCGAGACTTTACTGAAACGCCTTACTTCCAACCTCTTTTGTCTGAAACTGAGCACAGCAAAACCATAGATGACCCTCAGGATATCAAGCGTGTCATTTTCTGCTCAGGCCAGGTCTATGCTGCCCTCTTCAAGTACCGCCAAACCCATGGCCTGAGGGATACAGCCATCACACGAGTCGAGGAACTCCATCCCTTCCCTTGGGAACTAGTACGACAAAACCTGGATACTTACCCCAACGCGAAGGATATCGTCTGGTGCCAGGAGGAAACACTAAATGGGGGTTCCTGGAGCCATGTGATGCCGCGCATGGACCTCATCTTGCAAAAGACAAAGAACCACAGAGATAAGAGGGTGAGGTTTGCAGGGCGAGGGCCGGCATCAGGTGTGGCTGTGGGGTATAAGGCATTGCATGCACTGCAGGAGCAAATGTTGTTGAATGATGCTTTTCAGTTTGAGTAACTGACTCGCCGGTAACTGTTCAACGCCATCTATATAGAGCTAGAATTCCCTAGTTGGTAGCTTCCCCTTCATAGTAAACCCAAGAAGAGTAAATTTGGCGAGGAACTTCCGTGTCGTTCATGGTCAAGTTGTCTGATGTGTTAGAGGACATAATCTTACAAGCATAACATCCAAGGATATTTTGGGGATGCTTTCGAATGCAGTAAAAGTAGTCTTCAATCGAGATAGGTGCCTAACATGTCTTCGGCTAGCGCGCCGAAAGAGGCCGAAGAAGATGTTTCTAAGTATGCCGTACCAATATATATATACATCGGATCTCGAGCGATTCACGAAAGGTTGAAAAGCTCCCACATGAGGCCATCAAAATCCGGTACACCAGTCAATCCAAATGACTCCTCAAACGCGGGGTCCCCAAACAGTTGCAATGAGTCTGATTGATCAAGTGTAGCTTCCGGGAACCCTGTGTTGAAATCACCAAAGCTGGTTGGGTTTGTATCCAAGTCTATGAGCTCCTGTTGTTGGTTTGTTGCGTCTTGTCCCAAGGGCAATTGGGAAGAGATATTAGAACTTTGTTGCATATGATTCGTAGCTCGTATTCTTGAACGAAGCCGTGGAGTAGCCGCTGACGCTGCCGAGCCTCGACTTTTCAAAAGTCGCCTCATAGTCACACCTGAGATGTCATCGATACAGTCCCTAGCTCTCTGGGCTTCAAGCCAATATTCGCCGATACTGCTCAGAATATTGAGGGCGGTGGTTATATTTTTTGAGAGCTCATCTATTTGTATATTTGTAGAAATATCTGGCAACTTCCAAATGCTGTGAAGCACCACAAGTGTGCCCAGAAAAATTGAATGGACAACCAGCCGGCTATACTGCAGGGAGTCATGCTTATACAGTTCCCTGAAGCTTTCCAAGAGTTCCATCGCGTGTCTGAAACATAGGATGGAAGAATCTTCGGATGGATCTGGAATGGCTGGACTGGGGCGCAAGACTAGTATCATCATCTCATGATATTTGATTTCGCAGAGCTTGGCGCTCATGTTGTTGATATTGTCAGCATGTGGTGTCTCGACCTTCCAGGTTTGCAGACGCTCTAACATCTCCCTTTGCCAAGCGAATATGTCTCGAATGGGTGGATAGGCGTAGGCTGGTGGCTCTCGTGATATACTGTGCATGACGTACTTGATTTCCGAGTTCAGTCTGGCAGCTTTGAATAAGTGTATGCCAAATGATATATGAGAAGGTGGCTGGTCAGGTGATCTTTCTTGGGCATCAGGTCTCATCAGCTCAAGGTCCGAGATGTCCATAGGAAGCTATAACCATTAGTCCCACAAGCAGAAGTAGTCTAAGTATAGGCGAAGTACTCACACGCAAATCGCACGCTTCGTCCCGGATACCCACCGGTCGCCCCATCATTGTCCCTATCGTCCGGTCAAATGTATACACCACCCAGAAAACCCGAGTTCTCATTTCCTGCTCCAATAGAGAGATTTTCAGAGATGGTGTGTTTCGTATATCCCGCTGTAACCCTAAATCAATAAGAGAAGCCAGGCACTGGTAGTTTAGGTTCCATATATTGATTCCGCAAGATGGGTTGTGGAACCCATACACCATGAGTAATAGCAATGACTGCAATCCGCCCAAGGTTCCATCAGGAGACATATTACTAAAATGCTGCATTGCTGTCGCATAATATCCTTCAGCAGGCAGGCGGACTTTTGACCTCCGCGAGAGATCAGTGGCAGCAATAGCCAAAACCATGTACACCTGAAAGGCCACTACTGGGCTAACCTCTTCCGGCGAGTATATTTGATCTATGTAGCTCATATGCGACGGCTGATGCAAAAAGGGATAAATGATGTGAATGGTTTCAAAGTATTTAGCTGATAATTCGGCAGCAGTTTCCCGTCGCGGGGGCAAAGTAGCGGGTGTGTGAAGAATCTCTGCTGCGAGAGCGGTCGACTCTCCTGATAATGAACCCACGGAATCATTGGCAGCATTCCGTCGCTTCTGATGCCGACCGGCACTAGAGAATACGAGATTTGCAAAGAAATATCCGCTTGAAGGCCCAATATAGCGGGGTTCGCCTCCGGGTGAGAGCGAGACAAGTCCTATCTCATGGGCCTGTCGAGACTCCATCCGAGAAAGAGAGCGCAATGGATGAGGTGGCCAACTTTGATATTGCTGTCTGCTTTGCCCCGGGCCCTGCTCCTCGCTTGGGGCAAGCTCTCTCTGAGGACTAAGGATAGACGTTTCCTCGTGGTCCTCAGTCAGGACTGGCTCTTCCTCCTGGGAAAGGTTGTCTCTGGATTGTTCATCCAAGTCAACGTTTGGACAATTTTCTTTTACTAGTGATTCCAGCCATTGTATTCGTTTCTCCATGCTCGCGATATACCTGTTCAAGGTTAGAATTTATTTTTATCTAGGGGCAGGTTAAGCACTAACGAGCGCTGAACAAGCTGCTTGCCATCATTGATACAAGGAGTATTAGCCTTCTGGCATGACCCACAGCGAGGAGTCTGCCCATCGCACTGTACACGCTAGCGTCAGCTGCAGAAGCTCACAAGTTATAGAGCAGAAGCATACGCGGATCTTCCGTCGTTGACAGCGGCGGCAGGCGGCGCGGTTCCGATTCCTCCTCGGCGAGTCCATGGTAGCGAGTATATTAAGATATGTATGGTAAGGTATACTTTAATCAGCATAATAAACTGAAATTCATCGAGAGAGGGTAATTGTGCAACGTACTCCAGCCAATGATCGGAGGGGAGTTGGAAGGGAAAAGATCGAGTCTTCGAAGTCGTGAAAATGGAAACGGAGTTCTTCCGCTGGGACGAAGCGGATCTCTTCCGAACGTTCCCGGTTAGCCCTAAGACACAGGGTCTACATGAAGACCTGATATGATTCTGATGTAGACAATTATGACAATCAACTGTTCAGACTACCTTAAAAACGTAGCACTTTTTTCTTCTTCCTTTTTCTTTTCTTTCCAGGAGTACTTAGACTCAAACACAAGTCCAGAGTCAATTGTCACGGTTCCCAAATTGAGATCACTACTGCTTCTCTTCCGCCGCCCATGGATTGTCAGTAGAAGAATGATAATATATGCTTATATAGACTCCAATATCCTCCGTAAATGCAAAAGAAATCCAGGATGTCAGACGATCCGTCTGCCCAAGATCATATCCGGGACTATCCAGTTTGAGTTCGATGAGACACCATTCAACAATATATAAGACAAGACTTACAAATAAGATTGGATAGTATCCAAATATGATTTGCCCATGTCAACCATCCCGATTTCCTTCATGAAATGTGCAATCCCGATAGCAATCTTTAGGTCATTCTCACCATGCACAGGCAAGTAGATCTTAGTTAACGGCGATAGATCTCCGCCTCGCATCTCGTAATTCCACATCAACGGGGTTGTCTTGGAGGCGTCGCTTCGGTCATCATGTTCTACTTTGATCTCAAGCTCTCCGTCCGGAATCTGAATATGATCAAATAGTTGCAAGAGATACCGTAACCCCTTGTCCACCGATGGGCCCTGTAGCCGAGAGCCCAAGGACCAGGCTTCTTCAAGTTTCGCCCGCGTCATACTAGCCGAGCACATATAGATTTTGAGGCGACATTTTGACGGCTCGATGCAGTCCCACGAGAAGAAAGTGTACGGGCTATACGAGTTAGACTCTTGCAAGTAACGGTCTACCATTGAAAACACCTCAGAGCAGTCTACCTCTCTCTGCAAGTCTTTAACCGTGTTGATCAATAATTCACGTGAGGAATGCCCAGAAACCTTGCATTTCAACCCCGGAAAGGCATAGGCTTTTACCGATATAGGGCTATCTCTGACAAGGTCGAAACCGAACAGCGTTTGCGTTCTCACATATGTGTCATCGATGTTGCTCTCTTGCAGCGTGGCTTTTTCGGTCGCATCAATATGTATGTTCTGAGAGACTGTGTCCCACAATCGCGGATCGAACCCTTTGAAGTTCAGTTCCGACAGGGTGAAGAGAAACTCCTTCGCTATATCTCGATCGTAGGTAACTGTCTCGGTACCTCGCGCTCCACTGAGGGGCTCAAAGGCTATGCGAACAGTTGGTTGCTTTCCATGCTGCTGGTAGTTGACACTGAACTCCACAGGAAGACCACTCCGGGTAAGAGTACTTCGAACTACTTGTGGATAGGGTCCCAGGAAAGGGACGACGACACGGGTGTAGAACTCAAGATACTGGTGTTGCTGCTCGATGCTATAGTCTGACGATATCATAAGCTTGGCTAGGATTGGGCCAGTTTTGTACCACCATTGCTTCCAACTCTTATTCGGAAATTCGAGTGTTTCGGTTAAGGACTCGAACGGCGTGGAATTCAGGGAGCAAGGGATGTGCATCATGGTCGGGGAGGCGAGTTTTGAGGCGGAAATTCAAGGCCTCAACTGGAAGTCCTGTGGTGTCGGTGAAAGCTGGGGCTTATTATGCCACGGTGCAAGATAAATGAGTTTGTCTTGTCGTCCGTTGAAACCTTACTTAAATGGCTTACGACCAAACAAGCAAGATTATAATCTAGTCTGCTTCGTAATTCTGCTTAATGTAACCCGGGGCACGTCAATGCGCACAGACAATTGTTCAGCAAACAACATGTTGGATTGGTGCCTTAGTAATAATGTCACAATCCCAGACATATGAATGGAGCATGAGCTTAGATCCTTGTAGAGAGCTTTCGATCACAATTCAAGGATGCTATTGGATTGGATGTTGCATCTCTGTAATCCTAGTCAAGACCAACTTTCGATGGCTTGGTTCTCATATATTCTTATCTTGGTATAACAAATGAGGAGTCGGTGTGAAGTTCGACCACATCTGACGCGCAATGAAACACAAACAATGCCCCTTCTACAGCCATCCTATAATCATCGAGTACGATTGTAGGTGGTCAGGCGGACTTCGGGGGTAATTTGGCACCGATGAACGTACCGGTACTTCGTGGACATCAAATGCGGGGAGTTTGGTTCTAGTGTATAGCTCTGTGATACCCTGTGCGAGGATATTTCGGTGAGCATGTTTTAACTGCATCGGATAAGCGAGAGGGGTGTAAAGTACTAGTAGTACATAGCTCTTCATATAGTATTCAGATGGTTTACTTCCACGCCATATGCTTCGCAGTACCTGATTGGCCACTTCCAGAGCAATCACGTGGCTTCCGGAGTGTCAATCGCATCTTGGACTTGAATCTTGCGTTCCGATTTCTCCTCACAACCCCATAGCCTTATATTACCCCATGGCTTCAAATTGGAGTCGTGAGTCCTATCTATGGACCGTTTCCTAACCCGAAAGAGGCCACGGCCCAGCTCACCAGTCCCGCAGACGGTATCACCATCAGAATCGCCACTCCCGGATGAGGACTCAACAGATGTAAAGTTAGCACTGCTCGTGTCACTTTTCCCGGAGATTGCACAGGAGACGCTTCTGGACGTTCTCGTCTCATGTAGCGGATCCGTGGAAGCCGCCGCATCTACGATCCCAGTACAAGCCCCTCCCACTAAGAAGCGGGTGGTACCGGGTACACCATCTGTACAGACGTCTTTGGCGTCTCTTGTCCTCCAACCAGGCGCAGGGAAAGAGTCACCCATCAAACGAAAACCACTGACTAAGAAGGGGAAAACCCTGCACCTATACTCCCCAGAGGATGTCGCGGCCCACACGCCATGTACAATTATCCACAATTTCCTTCCAGCAGAGCAGGCGAATGCACTCCTCTTAGAGCTTCTGGAGGAATCAAAGTATTTCTCTAGATATAAGTTCCAGCTGTTCGACCGAACAGTTGAGAGTCCTCATTCAGCTAGCGTATACGTTTCTACGCCGGAGGAGTACCGCCAGCATACGTCAGAGTACACGTACGGCGGGACCTACCGGTCAAATGTGCGTCAGATCACACCGCATATGCAAGCTGTTTCCGCCAAAGTGCAGCACATTGTGAACAGTGAAGTAAATCACCGCATCAAAACCTTCTATCCCGGTGGAGAAAAGCTCAAGTACCAGTCTCCTAAAGAATGGATGCCAAATGCCGCATTCGTCAATTGCTACGATGGTCCGTCAGAGAGCGTCGGGTATCACTCGGACGAACTCACTTACCTCGGTCCACGAGCTATCATCGGCAGTCTGAGCTTAGGCGTAGAACGAGAATTCCGCGTTCGACGGATTGTACCCAGCAATGATGATGATGATGATGAGGGTTCTCAAAGTGAGAAAGATACGCCTACACCACAATCTGAGCCGAAGCAGTCACGAGTGGCATCTGACGTTCGCGCCGATGCTCAGGGTCAAATCTCCATTCATCTCCCCCATAACTCTCTGCTAGTTATGCATGCCGAAATGCAAGAAGAGTGGAAACACGCCATTGCACCTGCCCAAACGGTTTCACCACACCCATTGTCCGGAAACCGCCGCATCAATATCACTTATCGCTGGTATCGCGACTCCCTGCATCCACGGAACACCCCTCGTTGTCGGTGTGGTATGCATGCCATTCTGCGCTGTGCTCAGCGCAAGCGGCAAACTAGAGGCAGGTATATGTGGATGTGCTATGGAGGCTTTGCCCCTGGCAAAAAGAGTTGTGGTTTCTTCCAGTGGGCTGAGTTCGATGACGACGGGGAACCAGTCTGGAATAAGAAGCAGTCTGAAGATACTGCGCCTATCTTGAGAAATTTTGTACATGAATAAGGTTTTGCTAGCATTGTGATCGAGATAATCAATTCTTATTATAGTCTTCGCGGTTGTCTGCATCATACCCCAACTGTATTACTTATTGCATGGCGAATCTCTGCGATGTAAGAAGAAAAGGGATAGTGCTTTTTAAGCCTGCATCACATTTCCAAAGTTGAACAAAAGCTAAAGAATCCCAAAATCTCATTCTCGATTATAAACCACTAAGTATAGAATCAGGGTACGTAGAAGCATAGGTATTTCACCCAGCCTGCAAGTGGCGAAGTAACCACCATCTCTCAACTAAAGTTGACTCGGCCAGCAGCAACTAATACCCCAACAGCAGTCTACAATATCAACCTGCTGCCATCTGGTAGTAGTCGAGTATTCACCTAATCAACGGTTCAAATTTCGAGCCAACGGATCGTATGCAAGAGCCTCGTGGATAGGGATAACGACGCTGTTCAGGTACATTGTAATGCCTGGCAAAATCAACTAAGCTTTCGAAGCGCTTGTCGTTGTTTTATTCAGCTAACTCCCATTGTCAGAGATAACAACCCATCCCCTCCTTCAAACCATCTCCTTCTCCTGGTCTGATTCCTGTTTCGCAGTGGGCGCTGGTGGAGAGATTGTTATATCGGGGACGTCAGAACTGGCACGAGTAGAGGCTCTCTCCTTCTGTCTCTCCGGGGGATTGATGCAGAAGAGGTAGTGAGTGTGAAGCCGACCACTGCAGGCCCCCGAAAGAGCCAGAGCCATTATGAAGATGACACCGATAAGGAATATCGGAATAGTAACCAGTCCAATGACAACAAAGGTGTCGTATTGATTAGCCATGCTTGTAGGTCTATTTACTCTAATGGATGCAGTGGGTATTCGGTATGCAAAGAGTTATGAGGATATCTTCTGTAGGCAATGATAGATCATGAAGAGAAGCCTTCTGCCCTGTTGCAAGAAATCGTAGATATACATTGATCAGCTTATTTGGGAAAGAGCGTACCAATGGATGGTGCAAGCAAATAAGGAAACAAGCGGGCCAGAGTTTGTACAGATATTTCTTTCTTTCCTGTCATACATGAACAATGAATTGGGTATAAATCGCAGGGATCGAACTAATGGTGCGCTTCTTCCACCCGTGGGGTTATCATCTCTTTAACTGAGGTCAGCGTGGTGTCGTCCAATCGAGAAAAACGAATCTGTAAGCTTCGGTCAGCGATAGCCACAATGGGCTGCCTTGGAGTGCCCAGCAGCTCATGAATCACTGAGGGGAGACTGTTCTTACCAAATCCTCAGTTCCTCCGCTTCGTGTCGCATTGCCAAACAATGTTGCTTCCGAATGACTCGCTTCGACCTCATCTTGGACTCGCTTGGCCCAAATCCCATCCCAATGCCAATCACCAGGAAGCCGCGCCTGCGGGATTCCTCTTTTAGTGCTAGTTGTAAGGGTCGCGTTGCTACTATCTTTTCTATGAGCCTTCCATGCATGCCAAGCGCTTGGATTCCCAGCAGCTTCGAGTGGCAATGAGTCGAGAACTGTTTCGTCATCGAATGTAGAGCGAATATAATTTAATAGGGCAGTAACCGGGACATTCTCCCTTATCTCGATGGATTTCTCTGCTGGTGTTGATGTAGCACTCTCCTCTCGATCATCATCTGCTTGATTCGTCGACGGAGATGTAGGTCTAGAGGCTTCGTTTGGGTTCTGAGTCAAGTCTTTGCTGGCTGCATCACCACCGGTATTGGAGCCACTAACACTCACGGCTCTCAAAGAGTCCGCTGAATTGATCACATTTCGTTTACCTCGGCCAAACCAGTGGGGAAATCCATGTCGGAGACTGAATCCGCCGGGCGGTAATCGCTCCTCATCTGAAGCACTGACGGGATCTTCGCTCGAAGCGTTGGTGCTAAAGGTATATGTGGTAAGGGGAACGATCAACGGATGGAATACATCGGTAGAGAAGGTCACCAAAGGTGGGAGATCGGGATATGAAGGCGGAAATCGGATCTGGAAACGGAGGATAGCAGAAGCATATGGACCTAAGCATTGCCGGAGAAATTTGGTTAGCTCTAGGTGATATCCAAGTATTTTGCCTATCCCAATCAACGGGATAATATCGTACCAGTACGAACGAATAAAACTCCCGTCCAGAGAGTGGGATCATTCGGAGCAGGGCTCACATAGAGTCCTAGAGGGGCCGCATGAGTTAAACTCGCACTAGTACAGTTGAAATATGTCAATTTGGCTTCTTTTTGTAACAACACTAATAGAGTAAATGAAACTTACAATTCCAGGAGAAGTTGGTGTTTACGCAGAGCGGGGATATTAGGCAATCTGGAGGTGGACATATTGCTGTATGAGACTCCGTGATGCTGCTGTTGAGTTACCGCTTAGGAACACGCGACGGCTGCTCTATTTTCTGGCAGAATCATTTGAACACTCCGCGGGATGGCTGTATCGTTGACACAGTTAGCATCTCCGATTGATCAGACCATAAAAAACGATTTGTTTTTTAGCCCAAAAACTTCACTGTAGTTCCTGCAATGTGCCTATTATGCTACATACTTTACAGATCCAACGAAGCCTTTTTGGTGGAATCTATAGCATTAAAGTATCCAAGTAAAGAACCCCTTTTCCTCGGTCGCAGGTTTGACTATGGCGGCTTCAGTAGACCGCCTTCCTGTTTTAATGGAGCGGTCAGGTCCTCCGAACCCTATAAAACAAACGAGTTATGTCCGCTATCTCCGAACACCCACTATGTATGACCACCATTTCTTGAAGTCCCATTCTCCATTGACTTCGTTGGAAATTCTACCTTGATAAGGTTATTATCATGCGCTCCTATCAATCCAATTCTCCACTGCCCTTGCGTCTGTCTGCCTCGTTGACGTCACCGTCATCCTCCCTATCGGAACAGGGAGTGATATTGAATTGGTCCAAACAAAAGGGATGCAAAGTACTGCGGACAACGCTGCCGAGCATTGACCATATAAACGCTTGTAGCAGCAGAAACGGGCTAAATACTCCATAGCCCTGTCTGAAGTAGGCGGTTGTCTTTTTGGCGCTCGGCGACTGTTTAGTTCTTAACACGGTGGCGCCTGGTATCGCAACAGCCCAAGGCGAGACATACATCCTGCCGTTATAAACTGTCTTTATGCTCTATCCTTCATAGGCTGACAGAATGGCATTCCACCAATGCACTTCATCGTCGCTGGCATCATCTCCGATGTCTACTTCAATCCTGCTATGTGAAAGTGGGTCCTCGCATCGGGGAGTCTCTTTCCTCAAGGTAATCATACACCGGTGCTCCGGAGATTTACTCAACAATTCAGACCATCGAGCACTCAGTATATAAGCCCAAGCAAGAACCAATACTGCAATGTAGTTACCCTCGTCGTACTCCTCGAGACCTTGAACGCCAGGCCATTCTGCGAATGGAGCAGAATCTGAGAGCTCCACATTCATCGCAGCTTGAGTCGCAAGTAGACGCGTACGGTGTATTTCTTTGGGCCCCAACTGGCAGTCCCCATTGGAAGTCTTCCAAGTCGAATGACCATTGACATAAAGAGCACCTGAGCTCTCGGTGCACTTGAACGGGGCCGACTCAGTTTCAGGAATCAACCCATGTCCAAGGAATGATGGCGTTTGGCCCAGTATGTGTTTGAGATCAATACATTGGATTGAGAGAGAACTAGGGCCTTCCAGGTCGACATAACTCGACCATAATGGATATCTTTCACGTAGCACGCGATCAAACGTCTCCTTTGTAGGCTGAACAACATCGTCGTTATCGTCGTCCATAATAAACTGGGGGTAATGGGCCGAACGAAATATGGAGATGTCGAACAGTATAGCATTCGCAAAGACACTGTTAAATGGCCAAAATAGCCTTGGAACTCCCCTCTCCTCGATTGTCGCTCGCTTATTAAAAGTACAAATGTTTTATAGAAGCAAAAGACGTGGCAACTAAAACAACAGACTGTGGTTATTAACTCTAACGCAAGGGATCTATATGAATAGGCAGCAATCAGGCAAACGCACCCGCCCTTATAGCATCCCGGCCTCTGTCCCACCAGATAGCCTTGGATACACATTCTATTAAACATCTCAACATAACTTATACAGCAATAAAAGACCAACCTCAATCACTTGGCATGGGTTGCATCTGTGTCCCTACCCCCACACCGGGATTTGGCCGAATGAACCCTAAGATGGTCATGCCCTCGCCAATCCCCTCGTAAATTCCACCTGCAATACCTTCGACCCACCAAGCAGCCAGACTTGACACCGCAACACCTACTTTCCCATCATGGAGACTAAGAACCGTTGTTCCCAGACTCAAGCTCCGTTTGCCCAAGCTATCGGCAGCATCCAAGCTCGCCGACACAACGCGCTCAGTAACCCGATGGGACCGTTCGAATTGGTAGAGTCGGTGCAGCACAATCTTGAGGTATGGCATCAGGAACTGAAGCAGGAGAAAGAAGTGAATAATACTCGAGGCAAGTAACCGGTGGAGGTAAGAGCGCTCGGCCGGGTGTCTTGGGTTCACAGGTTGGTTAACGAAGCCAGCTGCGGAAGGAGCAGCGAGAGAGTTGGAAACTCGGCCAGGGAGGCTTTTTCTGATTCTTGCAGTTTCTTCATAAGTCAAATCGGCCGGTAGGGCCTGGAGAAGATAGCATAGCGCATCCATGTACAATGACCGTACCAGGTGGCTGTCATAATCGCGTCGCTGGGCTTCCACTCCTGCATGTTGGAGGAATTGAAACGCTATATATATAGTTAGAGGCGGTCTTATACTTCTCTACATCTACAGCACATGTCAGTGTTGGTATGGATGCATACCTGGGACGACATGATTCCAGCGCAGTCCAGTCTCCTCTTCATATTTGGACATCGCAAACCCCATAGACTCTACACCCTTTTTTTCTTCGGAAGAGGTGATATAACTAATGTCCGAAGATTTCCCACAAACTGAAGAACCGCACGAGTCCTGATCGTTACTACTACTGCCCGCAGTAGCAGGGCGCTGCAGGTCACCCAAGGTCAAATCAGCTTTTTGTCCGTACAATGTCAACTCCGGCTCCGAGAAAGATGAGGAGAAGCTAGGATCCTTGAGCTTGTGGCCTGTTCTTGCCGCGTTTATATTTGAGTCCGACTGCGCCGCACGATGGAGCGAAGGATACAGACGGGGGATGTGTCGTCGAATGGCAGCCGGGAGAAAATCGGGAAGCCCCTGAGCGAGAATCATTGTGTCTCCCAGAGTTGCCTGCTCGTCCATTGTCTCTATTTTCTCCATGGTAGTCTTTGTGATAAGCGAAGGGCATCAGATGAGGGGCAATTTAAGGTCGGGACTCGGGTGATAGAAACGAAGCTTGGATCTGACGCAGCAGTGTCATAATATCGGGAGATATGATCACCAGAGAATCACGGTTCAGATGAGTTCCTTCGTCTTGAAAAGATCTTGTGAGCACTTTCCAGCCATGATGAGGAGGGCGAGGTATGGTTCAAATGACGCTGTAGATGCTTAAACATCCGATCCATGCAGGGAAAAACCGTTGAGACGCGAAAAACCTCCGAGTTTCACATGTCAAAGTGGCGATCTAACGACTTTTGACCCACAGTTGAAGTCGTTCCGATAAGGAGACCCTAAAGATAGACCCCAACTAAACCAGTCGGTCACTGACATCCAGAACCCTAGACAAACAAACAGGCAAACAGCACTCCGTACTTCCATACTACCAACGACTAGTAGTAGTGCCTACACATCAGTTACCGACAGCCTACAAAACATTGATAATTAGGGTGAAACTATGAACCTAACCTGGTATTTCTCAAGTAATTTGTGTGTCATTCCCAAGATCACGGGTACGCCCTGCCGATGATCACCCATCACATGCAGCCAATCATCGGGCTTATTGCTTACACACTTGCGCCCTTGATGCGATCATTAATTAGACGGAAGGCAAATCGTTCTGGATTAATTTCAATATATAAACTAACACCGCTGCCATGTTGGGAATCGTTGAGAAACTATGCATGAAAATTACTGAGAGGGAGGATAAAAGCGCCCCCCGCCCCCCCCCCTCCCTCAAAAAAAGAAAGAAAAGAACACATCACGAAACTTTTGAACAGCTTCAAAATCATGGTCCACTATATACAGTTCCAACCCTTTACTCTCAGAAACCACCATTGCCTGGTGATTGTGGCCCTTGATAAGGAACAGCATCGGCCATCAAAACATCCGTCTGTTTTGGGCTGGGGATAGGAATGGGTGCAGACCCGACATTAGAGCCGGGCAAAGTGTCCACTTTACTTTCGTCCCTTCCAGGTAGGAGGTCACCCTCATGCCGATTGTCTCCCCCTAATTCTAATCCTTGTAGGTCATCCAAATCCAACTCCTCATAACGGTTATTCAGCTGCTGCAGGAATTCAGGATCAAATCCCATTTGCACAAACGGATCCACTGAACCGCTCATAGGCGTCGAAAACGATGAGACCCCAGCTGAGAGGCTGCTTCCCCAATCAGTGGATAAGCCAGAATGTGTCACCGGGGCTACCATTCCAAAGCTACCGGCATAGCTACCGTTTGAGCTCCCTGGAACGCTCGCTGCCGCTGAGGACCGACCAGTGCTTGGGAAAGCGGGACTTTGGAATCCAGAGCCAGAGTGACTTTGGCTGAAGGGATAACGATGAAATATGCTTCGAGCTACGGAGTTGGTCTCAACGGGCGGGCGCATTAGACCACCTTGGGCAGCATAAGGCGGTTGCATTCCCAAGTTAGCGAATTGAACATGCTCTGAGCCCGGAACGTCTTCAAGTCCAGCGACACGTTTAAGAACTCCAAGCCAGACTGGGTTATCCGCGCAGGTCTGGTTCCAAGGATCGGCATTTTCATAAATGATGCGCCGGGCTTCATCTTGCAGCATCTGATCCGTTGGGGTAACACCGGCGGCCATGCGGTTATGTATATAAACCATAAGCTCGCGCTGGAGACGCTCATAGCAGTTAGCGTCTCCCGGCACTGTCAAGCTCGGTGACTGCCCTGTAGCGCGCGAAGGTTTGTAAGGATCCAATGTGAACTTTTCCTGGCCAATGAGGTACGGGGGCATCGCGTTCTCGACCAAGTTTTCGACATCGGGATCGAAACCCCAGTCTCCCTGCCATTGAGTCATGTCGGCACCACTCTTGAAATGGGAAGCTAGATGGTCAACTCGGTCTTTCCACGTTGTGAGAATAGTTGTACAGAATCCGCACCGCGACCTTATCTCGCAGGTATTACTTCGCCATTTATCCATTGAAGGATGGAACTTGACGTCATGAACCAACCTCAGATGTTGGTTGAGGTGGTCCTTCCGATAGAAGGCTCGCTCAGAAGGGGACTTCTCTTGGCATGTACTGAAGTTGTGCGATTCAAGATGGTCGTTGTCAGGATTGGCCGCCATACAAAATACACAACGGTTTGCGCCGTCCATGAAAACGACACCTCCGTGAGGCGAGCAGGTCCACTTCTCCAAAGCTAAGTGCAGCGATTTCTCATGTCGTTGCCAATCATACTTGGTCTGGAAGGAGTCGGCACAGAAGGTACACTGGTAGATACGAGTGCTGCGAGTCTTTTGTTGATTGAAAGTGTTCATGGGTGCTGGGGCTTTACGGCGGCGGCGACGATCCTTTCGGTCCATGGAACCGAATGACCCCAATGAGGATCTATGGGAGAAGGCGGAGGCAAATGACAGGTCAGATATAGATGAATGAGTGGCTGACCGACTTGTCTCTAAGCTACTAATGGAAGGGGCACGGAATATATTTGAGTTGCCATGGCTTGAGTCATTGCTTGACCCAGTCTTCCGAGAATGGGAACGCACGTGACTCGATTGAGACGATCGCTGCCGAGCAGAATTTAAAGGTGTGTTCACCAAGGCTCGGAGAATATCAGATGTGGCAGCAGGTTCGTTTTCAGGAGGGGAGTGCTTCCAACGCTCAAGTGGAGTCATGAGATGTATATCCAGCTGTTGTTGCCTCGGGATATCCATAGCACCGGGAACCGGAGAGCTGCTGCGTGGAACGGGACGAACTTTACCACGCCGTCTGGCATTGGCTAACCAATTGCAAATTTGGGTCCGCTTCAGCCCTGTACGCTGCTTCAATTCATCTTTCTCTTGTTCGTTGGGATACGGATGGTCGCTATGCTCGTATAACCATGTCTTGAGAATGCGGACTGCTTCGCGTGAAAGTCGCGAACTACTTTTTGCTCCCCGACCATCAACATCGCCAACAAAGGTTGCACCGTAAGCCGATTTAAGTGCTTTCTTCCCCGTTAAGCCGCCGGTTGGGATGTAGGTATTCTCATTAATCGGGTGTAATGTGTCCAGAAATTTGCCGGGTGCTTTGGTATGAGTGAAACTACACTCTCGGTACAGCGAGATGCAACAGGTACATCCACTGTTTTGCATAACTCCCCTGTTGGCAACAAAACAGTCCAGTCCCATGTTCCTGCAAAAGTCACAGGGCTCTTTAGCACGACCCATGGGATAAACACCGTTATCCATGGCCGAACCCGGGGATTGTTTGATGGCGGGTTCAACATCTTGCTCCAGCAAATCATTAGGGAATTCCAATGGTTGATCCAGAAGAAGTGACTTGTAGTTGGCAACAGCATCATCATTTTCATCGAAATCCCTGCTGTCTGAAGCTACATCATCGTCACGAAGTTGCGACTGGGACCCATATGAGGCTCCGTCAAAATCAAAGAACTCCATTTTGGCGGTGATGCTCCGGTTTAACTCTGTTACGAGTTAACTAGAAGCTGCGGTGCTTCAGGGACACCAGCCAAGGGAAAGGGTAATAATCAATGCAGTCTTAATGAGAAACAAATCGCCGGGGGAACAAAGATGGCGGGTAATACAGAGAGAATGGGTAGTGGGGGAGAAAGATGGGCGACGAGGATGGGAAGTAGGATACGGTTTTTTCGTCTGGGGTATCAAAAGCATGCCGAAACCAACACTGCTAGTACCTTCGATGTTTGGGCCACATCCTTCTACCTATCCTTGGTCTTAGGACACGCCTTCAGAACGTGAAGATCGTATTCGGCCCCAATCGGCACCGCCGACGACCCATATCGAATTATGGAGGTAGCGCCCTTATCGATAACCCAAGAACAGGGTGGTCTCAATTATCCAATAACTGATTGACAGCGAGAAAGAATCCAAGAAAGAATGGGTCACGACTCATCTGCGCGCCCTTCCAATGACAACGCCATGCCTTTTTCGGCCATGCATGTCTGTGCGGGGGTTTTTCCACGCCCAGACTAACCTAAGGCAGTAACCATGAATCATCGGGCCGTTTTCTCCGACGATATCGGAGCCCGGAGTTCGAGAACCTCTCCCCTTCCAACTAAATATTTAATATTCTACTCCGTATGCTACGAAGAATAACAAGACCGCCTAAACTTGGCATGAAAACAAGCGTTATAGATTCTGCGTCATCGTCGCTCAAAATGTCTTACCCTCTTTGCCCATGTGATATCTACACCACTGCCCCGTGCTTCATAAGCTCTCGCGCTAATGCAAACGCCATCACCCGTTAAATATACTAAACACATAAGTATGATCATTATGGGGCTGCTATTACTACTACGTAGTAGTTCACCTACAGACAATGCAACGTATCACACCATATTTGATTCTTGGTCTATCTCTATACCTAAGAAGAGCACACCGATATTTGCTACTACAGGTATCAAACCCTGTCCTAGTTAGCGCGATACTAGAATTCTCCAATCTTAACCATTCTCTAGGGGCATGTCACTTCTGACGAGTTCATATTATGACCTCATCTAGCTAACGTGCCTATGCTTCTAAAGTACAATACACAAGACGCTTTGTGCTTAGATGCCAGACAGTCGTGCTGTATGTTTGGGGGCATAACATGGCATATCTATCAATCTGGATTCTGCGGGAGCCCGCAAGAGAATATACTTCCTGTGTACGAATTGCATATAATAGGGCAATGTCACATGTACATATATATGTGCAGGGCATGCACGGTCTTCAAATCTAAAGACTATGTCGCTCTGGAAAGTACGTTTCATACCCTTCTCCATATTGTTGGTTGCACTTATCCCGAGCCGGCGTACTTGAGAATGAAAGACCCCGGGATACCGATTAAGTCTCATAAATACATACCAGTCTTTTACTGCCCATGCTTACAGGAGAACGCTCCATACAGCTGTAAATACATCTTGTGCGTATGTGTGTATTTGTTGCCTGAAGCTGCATCGGGCTGCGCTGCGCTTAAAAAGTAGCAAATGGTCATCATTGCTGAGTGAACAACCACTCGGTGACAAGGATGGGACCGGAGGCTGCGACAAGTACCCATGTCTATCAAGTAGAGCTAGCAATTGCGAATACAACGGCATATTCATGTATTATGTGGTCACGGGCTTACTACAGTGCCATATCAAGCTCGGGCGGGAGTGATCAATCCGTTTCTGCTGTATGACGAATGGACCTGTTACGAATGGAAAAGGAAAAGAGTCTATTTATTGAGCTGAGACAAATGGCATGTACTACAACAAGAAGTTGAGTAGAGACTGTATGTAGTACATAGACTAACTACTATACCAACAAAACAAAAAAGTGATTCCGATGCGGGGAATCGAACCCCGAGCTGCTGTGTGAGAGACAGCGATGTTAGCCATTACACCACATCGGATATTGTTGAAGAATGGTTTTCTAAATTCTATTTTTATATATAACCTAAACTATATCAGAGCAGCCACTGGCTTTTATCAGCCTAATGAGGCAAGTTCTCGTTCAGACCAACTTCTTTTACTGCGTTTTTTTCTTCTAACATACAAAAATCTGGATCCCAATTGACTAACCCTTCAATGGCTTAAAGACTATACATTCGATTGCACGATAACTTTTGTGATACTGCCTGTATTCATCTCGAACGGAGGAAGAGATATATATACATCCCCGCCAGGCTCACCTCCCATGTTTCTGATTAAATTCATCTGCCACCTTTCTTGTAACTCGAACGATTTCCACGCAACCAGGTGAATCGGAATGGCAACAGATGGATAGAGGATAATTTTTCAATGGCAGCTGTACGACCGTCCCATCGACCGCGGTCACCGACTGCTCTTCGACCTGTTGCCTGACATGTCGCTCCACATCGCCGAGGTCCCATGGTTTCTTCTTCCGGTCAATGACGAGCATTCCTCTCGAGTCGTATTTGACGTCACCGTATAACTCGGCCCAGAATTCTATCCCAAGATCATTGGCAGCATTCTCCATATTGGTCCCAGCGAGCCCGAAAACAGGCACGCCCTTCGGAATCCCAAGCATGACTGCCTTAGCCACCTCATAGTCTCGGCACATCATCCCGTATAATACCCCGTGGGGTTTCACATGGCTGAGGGGGACATTCTCCCGGTCTAGGAAGCCTTGAAGTGCCCCCACCTGATAAATGGTCATAGCTGTGAGTTCCTCGGGTGATAGCTTCATCTCCCGTCGTCCGAAACCTTGGAGGTCCGGCAACCCGGGATGTGCGCCGATCAGAACGTTATGGGCTTTACAGTTCCTAACGGTCTCCATCATGATGAGAGGGTCGCCACCGTGGAAGCCGCAGGCGACATTTGCGATATCAATCATGGGGAGGAGTTCGAGATCAGGACCGCAAGCCCAATTGCCGTACTAAAGGCCATATTAACTACTGAGTATATCAACAATGCAAAGCCCGGAAGAGGGGAAAATGGCATACGGCTTCGCCCATGTCACAGTTGATCAATGCTTTCTGCTGGATTGGAGCCATGATGGATGCGCTATTATGTAACCGACTTTCAGACCCTTCTGAATACTACAACCACGAAAGAGTATTATATGAAAACGAAGAGATGTTTTAAATCGCGAGAGAGGACTTCTTATGATATCAGTTTTCCATCCTAGCTACGCAAAAAGAGGGGTGTGTTCCACTCATATCGCTGCATTGACTCCGCACGCCTCCAATTTCTCCAATCTATTGCCATCGATCAACGCTTAACCCCAAATTTGAGACAACCTTCAAGTTTATCAAGGAGCCGTGATTCGTATCTGAAGTTATGGCATCCATACCATTGGTCTATAGCGCCGAGGACCCTTCCAGCCTGGAGGGTGAAGGAGTTTGACAACTTGTTCACTCAATTTATTAAGCACCGTATGCCGCCCAAACGGCCAGACTCGTGGAATTCCCATCAATGAATCCTGACTTACGATGGAATCACTTCAGACATTGCTGGTCGCAAATCGTGGCGAAATTGCCGTCCGGATTTTGAAGACAGCAAAGTACGAATCTCTAGGCCATACCTACCACACGGCTTTGAACTCTAACCGACTGACTGAACTAGAAAGCTAAATTTGCGAACAATTGCTCTTTACACCGAACCAGACGCTGCATCCGCTCATGTTCAGCTAGCGGATGAGGCCTTCCTGCTCGATGGGCCGCCTTCAAAAGCATACATCGATGCGTCAGTCTCGTCTGTTCTTCTCTATAACGGCCATCGTCTGACTATATCTTAGAGATCAAATAATCGAGTTAGCGAAGCGTAACAATGTGGACGCTATCATTCCAGGATATGGTTTCCTGTCAGAGAATGCAGATTTCGCAAGAGCCATTGCCAAGGCCGGCATGGCTTTTGCTGGGCCATCGCCAGAATGTATCGAAGCATTTGGGCTGAAGCATACGGCACGAGACCTCGCCACAAAGGCCGGGGTACCTATTGTACCTGGATCAACAGGTCTGGTGACGAGCGAGGATGATGCTGTGAAAGTGGCCAAAGAATTAGGATTTCCGGTATGCCATCTGCTAACCTGTTTCCTTGGCAAAGCTGATATGTTGCACACCAGGTAATGCTCAAAGCTACCGCCGGCGGTGGTGGGATGGGTCTACTGACATGCAGCTCCGAAGACGAAGTACGTGAATCGTTTGCTACCGTCAGGTCCAGAGGCGAGGCCTTGTTTAAGAATGCCGGAATGTTCATTGAACGATACTATCCGTCTAGCCACCATATCGAAGTCCAGGTCTTTGGAAATGGAGACGGCAAGGCCATCGCTATCGGCGAACGCGAATGCTCCATACAACGACGACACCAGAAAGTAATCGAAGAGTGTCCAAGTCCATTCGTTACTAGAAACCCCGGACTTCGAAAAAGGTTGAGCGACGCTGCTGTTCGTCTTGCAGAGTCTATCAAGTATGGATCAGCCGGAACGATCGAGTATCTTGTCGACGACGAGACTGGCGCATTCTTCTTTCTTGAAATGAATACCCGACTTCAAGTCGAGCATGGAATAACGGAATTATGCTACGGTGTTGATTTGGTGGAACTCATGTTGAAACAAGCAGATGCTCAACTTTCAGGAAAGAAGGGCCTTGAGGTAGCCTTTCTTACGAGTATTCCTATTGATGCCCCTTCAGGTGCCGCTATCGAGGCTAGAGTATATGCTGAAAATCCGACTAAAGACTTTGCTCCTTGTCCCGGAACGCTACAGAGTGTAGAATGGAAGGAACTGCCGGGATCAAGGATTGACACGTGGGTTTACAGAGGCATTAAAATATCAGCAAACTATGGTGCGTTGCCTTTGACCTACAGCTATGAATAAACTGAGCACAAACTTATCTGAGACAACAGATCCTTTGCTGGCGAAGGTCATGCTTCATTCCCCAAGCCGAAAGCAAACTATTGAGGGAATGAGGACGATGTTAACACAGTCCCGAATCTGCGGCCCCTCAACTAATCTGGAATTTCTGGCTGAGATTCTCACCGACGAACGATTTATTACCGGAAATACCCTAACCAGATTCTTGGACAACTTTCAATGGAAGCTGTCAGCTATTGATGTTATGTCTGGTGGTGCTTATACGCTCATTGAGGACTGGCCTGGCCGTCCAACTTTGGGCAAAGGGTTCTGCCACTCTGGGCCAATGGACCCTTTAGCGTTCCGTATCGCAAACGCACTTGTGGGAAATCCCGTTGGGTTGGAGGCCCTTGAGATAACTTTAAGCGGCCCAGACTGCGTTTTATGGGACCTGCACTTATCTCTCTCTGCGGGGCGCCCATTGAAGCCAGTCTTGACAATGTGCCTGTTCGTATGTGGTCAAGGATTAGAGTAGAAGCCGGCCAAAGACTGAAGATTGGCAAGACCATCAAGAATGGCTGCAGAGCCTACCTAGCAGTATTTGGAGGTTTCTTGAATGTTGCCGAATGGTTCGGGTCAAAGTCTACATCTCCCATGGTTGGCGTCGGAGGTTATCAAGGCCGGCAGCTTGCATCCGGTGACCTACTATCAATAACTAACAATGTACCTGATACTCGTGGTGATCTCTCTATGCCGGAGCACCTCATTCCCCAATACCCTGATCATTGGGAGCTCCTCTCTATGCCGGGGCCTTACGATGAAGGGTATCTTGCCCCTGAGAGTATTGACATGCTGTACGAAACAGAATGGAAGATCTCGCACAATGCAGCAAGAGGCGGCATCCGTCTTCTCGGACCGAAGCCGAAGTGGGCTCGCCCGGATGGAGGAGAGGGTGGCGCCCATCCATCTAATCTGATAGAGTACGGGTACGCTATAGGTTCACTTAACTGGACAGGTGATGACCCTGTGATCTTCCCTCAGGATGCACCGGACTTTGGTGGGTTCATAAGTAGCCACACGATTGTCAAGGCGGATCTGTGGAAGTTAGGGCAGGTGAAAGCCGGCGATACGCTAAATTACAGAGCTACTTCTTTAGAAGATGCCTTAGCGGCACGCAACCATATGGAAAGATTTGTCCGCGAAGTTGTCAAATGCTGTCATGATTGCGGAAACTTTGGTGATATAGCTCCTTTGAGAGATACTCCCCCTTCAGCGCTGACGGCAGAGACTCGTGGCACTGGAGTTGTTCACCAGATCCCGGGGCAGGGAACCCAACCACTCGTCAATTATCGACAGGTAGGTAGTATTACCAAGAGTGTTACATCCTACATCTTCAGCTAATAAGGTTTTCAAACAGGCGGGAGACGACTATATCCTAATTGACTATGGCACGGGGTCCTTCGACCTGAATCACCGCTGTAGAGTTACCGCCCTGAAGGAAATCTTAAACGAAGGCAACAGAGATATCTCATTCACCAACGGGCTGATCTCAATGATTGGGTGTGGAAATTGTAAGATTCGCCTTGTTAAACAGGGCCATATAATGCTAACCCTTCAAATAAAGCACTCATGCTCTACTACGACGGCATTAAAATTCCTCAACAAAAGCTCATAGCCTACCTCTGCGACCTCGAGACCAGACTGGGCGATCTCAGCGAAGCAAAGATGCCCAGCCGGCTATTCAAGCTCCCACTCGCATTTGAAAGCCAGCGCCAAAAGGACGCAATCGAACGATACATGGAGACACAGCGTCCTTACGCCTCCTACCTCCCAGACAACACGAATTTCGTCGCAAAGAACAACGCCTTTACAAAAGCAGAAGTCGAGAACATCTATCTAACCGCACGGTTAATGGTCGTATCCGTTGGTTTCTTCACAGCGCTTCCTCTAGCCCTCCCGGTCGACCCGCGCCAGCGAATGAACTGCCCGAAAATGAATCCCAGCAGAGTCTACACACCTGCAGGCTCAGTGTCGTGGGGTGGTAGTTGTATGGCGTAAGTAGCGTTTCCTTCATACCCACACCAACTAGTTATGCATTGTATTGTTCAATGAATCCTAACGGAAGCTCCATGCACATATAGCTTATACAATGTCGACTCTCCTGGGGGTTACCAAATGACGGGAATGACGATCCCAGGCGTCGACATCCTAGGATCTAAGAAGGGGTACACAGCCGATAGACCATGGCTCTTCGAAGAATTCGACCAAATCACATTCTATCGTGTATCAGAAGAAGAATACGAAAAGGAGCTAGCCCTCTTCAACAGCGGCAGATACGAATACCAATGGGAAGAAGTGACATTTGACATGGCAGAGCACAACAAGCTCCTCCGTGACACGAAAGAAGAAGTAGCAGCCATCCGAGCACGCCAGCGCAAAGCACAAGTCGAGATGGACAAACTCGAAGCGGAGCTCTTAGAGCGCTGGGCGAAGGAGAAAGCGGACAAAGGTGTCCCGGTTGATGCGATCGAGAGTTTATTGAAAGGTATGTGCAGACCTCGATCTATTCATTGCGCCATATTTGTTCCTAGGAAGAAGGGAAGCAACACTTCTGAGATGGAATTTCTACTAACTGTCTATGTAGATCCTCAGGTTCTTCCAATTGAAGCTCCGTTGAATGCTAATATCTGGAAAGTCGAGGTCAAGCAGGGTGACAAGCTCGACGAAGGTCAGGTCGTGGTCATTTTGGAGGCGATGAAACTCGAGATTGCGGTGCGAACTGAATTGCATGCCGCTGGGGCGACAGTGGAAAAGGTCCTAGTCCAACCAGGTGATTCCATAGAGGCCGGGAAGCCTTTGGTACTAGTGAGAAATGTTTGAACTGGATAGCTATTCGACACTATGTTGTTTGTCCGAGTTTTATATAATGATACGATTCTTGTAGGCAATGATTAATGAATTTGACACACAAATGTCCGGTTATGTTGACAGAAAAGAAAGAAGAAAAAAAACACCTAAACTCCACAATCCCATTTCTGCTCTTGAAGATAAAACCAGCCGATAGTAGGGTATCTGACAAGACACGCAAAGAACGCCATAAGACTCTATTCCCACCAAAAACTAACACTGATTCCTGCCTTCAGGCCACGCACATAGTGCCACCACCCAACAGGAATATATAAGCACTCTCCTTCCCGCAGGACCGTCTCAACGTATTCCGCCTGCGTAAAGCCCGGCCACATTGCGTCCCATTGATCTGACTCGGCCGGGGAGAGTTCAATAGCTGCAAGATCGACTTGCGATGTGTTGGACATATCAATGAGCGGTGGTTCATTGGCTTTACCTTCCGCATCATTCTCCGATGGCTGGACGGCTTCCATTCCTTTCGGATATATTTGGGACGCGGGCGTCCTCGGAGAGTAGAGACGGATATACTTCGCGCCCACAACCTGGACCAGGATGTTATGGTACGGGTCGTGGTGAAGAGGCGATATGGTCCAAGAGGGACCGATCCAGGTATTGATGATTGGGTCGGCAGGGAGACCCAGCTCCGAAGCCGAGCTATCATTGTCATCATCGTGATAGCTATCCAGGCCCGTAGATCCTGGTTGCGAGTCCGTCCCCTTAAGCTTTCCTTCTTGCTCGCGGAGCTTCTTTATGTATACCGGTGTTCCGGGTTCCGGCCCCGGTGGATCAATGTAACAATAATCAGGGATACAGATATCTTTCCGCAAGGCTGGAATCTGAGCCAGTAGATCGTGCTGCGCCATATAGCCGGTATGCCCCTCATCGTCTTCGGTCCCCTCTTGGTACTGTTCACTGTCAGTATGTTTTGAAGACTGCATCTGCCCACGCCACAGATATCGGTCGACGAAGTCCCGGAACTCCATTATCCGTTGCCCCCATCCCTCATCTGTATACGATCGCCCGATCTCCACTGGGACAAGTCTCCGCCCGCCAAAGGTGCGATCGAACCAGTATTCTTTCGAGGCCCAGGGCCTACTCGACATCGCCGGCCAGTGCTCGACAGCATTAGTAATAACCAAGGGAGTCTTGATATGGCGAATATGATGTTCGATAGAGTCGAACGAAGGAGCTGAAACGCGAGGGATGGGATTCTTTAGTTCGGGAGCCGGAATAGTATTTGGTAAAAACAACGGAGGGGAGAGTTTTCTGCGTTTCGCGGCTCGGTCTGATGTGTCGTCGATGCCCAGGGGGTGTTCACCGTCTTCCTCTTCCTCTCCAGAGGACATAGTCGCATCCTGAAGCGCATCGAGTAGGGATTCAATGAGTGATTCGCGCAAAGGGGCACCGGTCATGATCAAGGCTTTGTCGAGAATGTGTATTGTATGTGATAGCCATGGGGCATTGGGGGGCACCTTCAGCGCCTCTTGCTCCTTTTCACTACCCATGTCCTTGTTCATGTCGCGAAGCAGATGTGGATATAATGGTGTATTGTGTGTCCCATTGTCTTTATGCGAGTTTCCTTCGCGTGGAAATTCACAGTTGTGGTATGTATTGAGACAAGCCTTGACGATAGTCGCGTCTGTGTACAGGCGTCGCCAGCATGTTTGGACATTTTTGAAAGGGAACACGCGTAGATTCGCATCAGCAAGTTGCAGAGCCTCATCTGGGGTGTTTAAAACGAGTTCCCGAAGGGCTTCAAGGTCGTGATTGAGACATTCGAGGATGGGGTCGTCGGAGGCTGGATCTGCGATAGCGGAGAGTGCGATAGGAATGATGTGGTGGAGGTGAACCATTGTCTCCCTAGTGAGAAGTTAGAGAGACAATACCCGGATAGTATTGTTATCACCGGTGCCAACCTGTAAGTGAGGGTGGTTAGGGGAATGGTGGCTTGGAAGTCATGAGTATTACATTTTGTTGCGGTCACACTTTTTTTTTTTTTTTTTTTTTTTTCAGTTAACTCTGATTTTACCGCAACGTCATGCGGGGATTATATTTAAGTCCGGTAGCACTATTAGTACCTTACAGTAAAGACCATAACAACCAATAATTTTGAGATTATTCCAGTAAATAGTTGCATGAAGTTCTTTGATATCTTCAACGTTAATAATATACACGGATCCTATAAATACAAGTATTGAAATCAGGATATCACGGTGTAGTCAATGCTACTTGGAATCCTAGCGGCATTTGCCGATTCGATGGTGATCATTGCAAGAACTCCATGACAAGTTTTGGAATGCGATCAACACCTTCTCCTCTCATGGCGCTCACAGGAACAGCATGTATTTTCTCCCTCCATCCATCAGGATGACCACCGGGATGCTCAACCTGAGCCCGCTCCACAGCTGAAAGATAGTCTCGTAGTTTCTTGAACTGCTCTTGAGTTTCTGGAAGGTCGGCCTTAGTAGCCACGACGAACCAAGGTTTTGTGTGAATAGGGGGAAGAGTAAGGTCGGGAAGCTCTGAGTTCGAGAGCGCCTCAGGACCTTCAGACTGAAGCTCAGGTAGACCATGGGTCGGTGGAACCCATGTTAGGGATTCATTCTCATCTTTGAACACTGGCTCTGTGTCACGTATCCGTTCATACTCGCCGAGTTCATACCATAAGTTTTTAAGGCCTTGGATGGGGTCTCCAGCACTAAGATCCACCACAAAAGCCAGGATGCCCGCCCGCTCAATATGTCGCAGAAAACCTAGGCCCAAGCCACGGTCGAGGTGTGCATTTTCAATCAAGCCAGGAATATCGGCAATGGTAAAGTTAGTTCGCGGGGCCTTTCCCTTGGACTCAACCAGCGGCCGTCCTTTGAAATCATCGATAACGACCGTTCCAATGTTCGGCGACAGGGTCGTGAATTCCCAGTTCCCAATCCGTGTGCGACTGTTGGTTAACGATCGGAGTAGCGTACTTTTTCCAGCGTTGGGCTTCCCAACGAGCCCAACATCGGCTAGCAGCTTCAACTCAAATTCTAACTCAAGACGTGTACCACCTTCACCTCTAGAGGCAAACTTCGGCCGATTGATCGAACGGGACACCCAATGCGGGTTCCCCAAGCCACCGACACCCCCGGCAGCGAGCAAAATAGGTTTATCCATGTGTTGCGACAGATCAAGATGAATCGGAGCTTTTGGTTCCAAGGCGGCGATATGCTGTCTCCTAGGTGGGTTCCTTGGAAACACCGTGGTCAAGAAATCCGAAGGATTTGCCCCTGGATAAAGTACCCATCGATCATGACGAACAGATGGTAGCCCAATCTCGTCTAATTCGTCGACTTGCTCTATTTTCTCCAGGGCTCTCTGCCTTTTCCGAAGTGCCCATTCCTCAGCAACTGGATCATATCTGCTCACTTCACGGATTACTGTCCCAACAGGCACCTGAAGGAGAATATCCTCGCCTCGTCTGCCGCCTTTGCTTTTACCCTGTCCATTCTTTCCTCGACCAGCCTTTATAACGCCCCTGCGAGCAAGTTTATGTAGGCTCGTAAGCCCCTCAATGGCCTGGATGTAGATGCTCCCACCACTGCCGCCATCACCGCCATTCGGTGGGCCTTCTTCAACGTATTTCTCTCGGAGAAACGAAACACACCCGTTACCGCCGGCGCCAGCATAGATTACTGAGCGACATTTATCCTGGAAAATGAACCGAGAGTAGTCTTCAGGTGAGGGATTGAGATGCGAAGGTGCGGAATGGTGGTCGGGAGAGGAAGGATTTTCTGCTGGTCGCATGGCTTCAGCCTCTGTGCTGTACAGTCGATGACATTTCCAGGAAAGCCCTATCAATCCTTTCCTATTGGGTATATAAACAGTGCGTCGTAGGAAAGAAGGGACGGTTCGTGACAAATATATTCGTTGCGTCGTCATTGTGCAGCACGAGCTCTGTCGCTCATACTAAGGTGAGCGATTGGTCAAACTAAAGCCTGGGAGATAAACCTAGAGCCAACTCAAAAGCATTTTCCTTTTTCCGCCTGGCTTGCAAAGCACTTTAACTTGCAAGTAACTGTGAAAAGAGTATTTGATAATCAATGTTGTCATAGCTCTGGAAGCAAACCTGTATTACACGTGATCTTATCGGCACCTGATGATAAGAGATATATATATTTATGCCTTGCAAATAAGGCGAAAATGGATACTTGACAACGCTCTGGTCCAGAGTTGTGTTTTGATTTGGGCCAGACTGATTGGCACTCATAGTCTAGAATGTGCTATGGGTATTTGCGGTCAAAAGTTCCCCCGTTGTTACTCTAATCAATACAAATCATTTCATTCTGGTCATAGAAACCACAGAAACTTCGAAAGAACTACGGAGTATAGATAACTAGCTAGTTAACTAGATGATTTGCTTCTTCAGTACTTTTGACATTCGGACGAATTGAAACGAGACATCAACCAGCTTGTTTAGGGCATCTTTGCTTCAATCTCCGTTGCACAGCTCCTCGCAGTTCAATGCAACCCTACCAACGTTTCAATCTATAGAGAACCGGGCTATATCCTCCAACTGCAATCATGAAGCCCGAACCCTACGCAGGATATGATACTTGTCAGCTGGCTATATGTGAGTTACAATACCAGCTATACATCTAGCCTTACGAAGCATACAGGGTTGACTGACAAATGGACTACGTGTTCATGATAGTTCGCCCCAGACTAGCGGTTGCGGCGCATCGCAACTGCAAATACTGGAGGGAGCATTTACACAACAGAGAGTCCGATTCCATACTGTGATTAACACATACCATGTATAACGGGAGACTGCGCTATAGTTCTGGATCATTCTTTCTGTGTAACCGTTGAACGGTTGCCTCACAAGATTGCAATAGCTACTGCAAGGTACAGTTACTATTGGTTCACGTTCTCTCCTGGCTACCCTAGTAACTATGAAGCTATTCCGCAACCCCCTACGAGTATCACTTGGCGATATTCAATCCCTGTATGCTTGACTAGCATTGTCGGCCGCAGAACAAGGAGTCAGATACAGCACAGCGCCAATTAGACACTTGCGAAAAGGCCAAGGCCTGTAATAGTGATCAACTGTGCATAGAGCAAGCATAATATAAGGCATGTGGCATACCTTGTCTTTACGTGTAGACACTAATGGCAGAAGTCTACTGTAACTCAACCGTATCCTGATCTCCCATGACTCAAGCAAAGGCACCAAATAAGATCTATAACCGCCATAGCCGAGCATGTTGAACGAGGCTAAGTGTCCAAAGGTGGTTGTACATAGTATTAAGCAAATAATGGCAGGGAGGGTTCCGAGGAGATAGCGCGCGCTACTGTATCCCAGCGTGATTGCGCCTGACAGCACACAGCAATGCAACAAACGTAGCCGTAGCAACTGCAATAGACAATTACTCCGGAGTAGACTCGATACTGCGCGAGTTCCCAGTACAACTTGTTTGTTATTGACCCTTGATCGTAAGCCCTGTGCCCATGAAGTTTAGTAGTTTCATTTTTAACCGTACATACAACACCGTCGGTCAACATCTGCATGGCACCGCCGCGCCGCAGCAAGCAAGCCCCAAGATTGATTCTCGAGCACAACTAGCGGGGTTTGTGAATAAGCGGCAAACATCCAACGAACTCCTCATAATGGCATTGTCTGTCACATCGGCTCCAGCAATTAATAATAGATAGATTACGCAGTGGACATGTCACATATTGATATTCAATTGGTGGGGCGGGACTAACAGACGAGTGGCGCCAATAGCGTATGATTGAATCCTTCACACGATGGATTCGAATAGGGTTTGGAGCTCTTTGCGAACTAAAAAAAATCGATATGCTTAGTTCCTGGCTGATCAACAAGGATATTCCCAGTAATTCATAGATCGACCGCGATAATTCGTCCTCTTTGCGAAACGATACTTTGGAAATGTGATGGTGACAGATCAAATGAACCAATCAGCCTGACCGGAGATGCTCTGCCGACTGAGTTCTAGCAAATGGATAGCTAAAGCACGTACGCACATCCAGCTACCTTACGATCGGTAAATTCGATCCATGGAACCCCCCTCTATCTAGAGTTTGGTCAAGATGGGGGGATGTGGGTGAGTAACCGCGCATGACGAGAAAATTTGTCAACGAGGGCCAGTCCAAAGTCCAGACCCTAAGAATGAGTCCGTACTTTTGCCAGCTTTCCGGGACCAGGCCTATTCTGGGGCGGAGGATCGCCTCTAGCGCTTGACTATGCGATCTGAGCTTACGCTAGACTAGTTTATCGACGGCTTCACTTCGCCGATGCACAAATACATCCTTGATTCATACGGGACATCGCCGTGGCGTCTAGAACTCTGGACCGGGAGTTGGATCACATTTTCTTTTTCATATCTTCTGATATAGCCGGATTGTTGTCATGGTTATTAACTACTAACGGGTAACTATACTACGGGCTAGTTCCAGAGGTCTAGACTTACGAGGGCCTAGAATCCATCATCGCAGTCCGGAAGACTCAAACAGTAAAGCAGCCTCGCAGAAGAATAAAGGAGCCTCTGTTTCAATGCAATAGGGTATCACTAGCTGGTTTACTTTGATGCGTCATGACCGCAGGGATACCAACATACCTTGCTGAATACCCTGCACCTCATACCTGGCGTACTTGGCAAGGGCGTTTCTTCCAGAGCGAACTTGCCCATGTCAGGATCGATGGATGATGTGGTCGGCCAGAATACAACTGGTGGATAGCTTGCGTCTGGTATGGGCACGATCGACAACAAGGGCTAGTTGGGAGATAAATGCGTCGAACAAGGAATAGAAAGGAAACAGAAAAAGGCAAAAAAACACCCTGATTCTAGATTGC